TTAGTTACCATAGTATAGCCTGTTATTTTGGGGATACCTGTCTGTGTCCTCAAATCTGGTATGAGTAGACAGACTGGAACAAAATAAAATCAAACTAAACAGAGCAATAAGACTAATATGGCTTTTAAATCCTGATACACTATTAACAATGTCTTCTGACTTCCTTTTTTAGACAGTTCCTCCCCTTTCCCTTTCTCAGGGTGCTTTGTGTATTTTGGGTCCCATTAACTCCTTTAGTTTTTAGATTACGGGGGCAACCTGCTATCTACCTAAGTGGTTCTGAACCCTTTTACCCCTGAGCTTGATCTTGAGCTGTATTCCTTTACTTACTAAAGCCTCAAGGTTTCCTTACTTATAGCTGAGTAGTTCTCCACTGCACAAAAATGTTATGACTTTCTCACCTATCTGCAGCTGCTAGACAAGTTTCCCTATTTCTCTCTGGTTCCCTGTCACATAGAATATCATTTTCTCATCTTTGACTTTTGGTTTATTAACCCTCTTTCAAGCTGAGTGTGTTTCCTATTCAGAGCATCTTGATGGACCCTATCTCCTGATCTACTCTGCCTGTGTTTCTTTTTGTTAGTGTATCAAGGCCATCTATATTAGAGATTATAGCCAACCTTCTCTACCTCATCTCTGCTATTCTATTTTTCTGCTATTATTTGTCCACTTTTCTCCTTCATCCCACTGTCTTCCCCATTCATTGAGGCCTCTCTGCCCTGTTACTGGAATATGGGATTTTCTTTCTATCTCTCTCTAGAATTTCCTTCAGTATTTTTTGTAGGGTTGGATTGGTGGTCACGAATTCCTACAGTTCCTCCTTGTCGTAGAAGCATTTTGTTTCTCCATTGTTTTTGAGAGACAGTTTTTCAGGGTACATCAATCTAGGTTGGAGGTAATTTTTTTTTCAGGTCTTGGAGTACTTCACTCCCAGCTCTTCTTGATTTGATAGTTTTTGTTGAGAAATCTGTCATTATTTTGATGGATTTTCCTTTATAGGTAATCTGTTTCTTTTCTCTGACTACTTTTAATATTTTGTTCTTGTGGTGAATTTCTGGGATCTTGATTATTATATGTCTGGGTGTAGATCTGTTTTGGTTGTGGTTGACTGGAGTTCTGTATGCCTCATTTATCTGAATATCATTTCTTTTTCCTATGCTTGGGAAGTTTTCCTTAATTATTTCTGTGAATAGTCTTTGTAATTCATTTATGTTTACTCCTGCTTCTTTGCTCACTTTTTTATTCTTAAGTTATAGATCCTCTTTTTGTCTTCTAGCCTTTGTATTGTTACTTCCAGGTTCCTTGTTCGAGGTCTTTTCTTTCACGATCACACATTGAAAATCTATCTTCAAATTTTGAAAGGTTAACTTTAGTTTCTATCAAGGCATTTTGCCAGCTTTCAATGGAGTTTTTAATTTCCTGGTAATCTCTTTAGATCTGTTTTATGTATTCTGGATTTTGTTTTTATTATTCACCAAAGGTTTCTTTTCTTTTTCTGGGTTCCTCCCTTCTTCCATCTGTGTCTTCTTGAGAAGGGCTTAGCATTTCTTTTATTAATCTTTTTATATCTTGTCTCACTTGGATTAGAATTTCAGTTTTAAGTTTGTCCACAAGGTCACAAAGGTATTTAAGTCTGCTGATGCTGTGGCTGGTATTGCATGATTGCTGCACTGGTTCTCTTCTGTATTTACCTCTCCTGGACTTATTTTCCCAGGGTCAGTGGCTGGAGGCTTTTTCTTATTTCTCTCTCTTGTCATGTTTCTTTTTTCTTTCAGACAGGTGTACGGTGCAGGTCTCAGGCCCTCTCTGTATTGCTTATGGTTTTTCTAAAGCGTGCTAGCTGGGGGCTTGCTGCCTTTTCCAGTTTACTGTTATCTGAGATGCACACAGGGATGATACAGGCTAGACCCTCTTCTCTGAGCCAGTCAACCTGTGGCTTCATCACATTGGTCTGTGCTGTGCCTTCATCATGTTAGTCTGTGCTGTGTGGATGTCACAGGTTCGAGACAGTTTTGCCCCTTGGTATTGGGCCCCAGCCAGGGGCATGACCCAGCCCAAGCAGATCCCACCAGTCTGCTCTGGCCAGGGGCAGCTAACTGACGCCACTGTGGTTCTGGGTTCAGGTCTGTCCTGCCCAACTCCAATATGTCCATCAGCTCACCACAACTGCTGCGGGACCCAATTTCCAGCACTCTGGGTATGTATGTTTTTAAAATGAGAGGAGAACCATGAAAAAGATGACTGAGACTAGCATTTATGGCATTTATGGCAACTCCATAGCACAAATACATCTTAAGCTTTTATGTGTAAGTAACCTTCTGAGAACATTGTTTTTATTGTTCACATTTTTCTGTGTGTTTCTGAGACATGCCTAAAATTCAGTCTGCTCTTTTGAGTGTTTCTGTGACTCTGATGGCATAATAAAAACTTTGTTTTAGAAGACCCAGAATCAAAACAATTAAAACGAGAGAAAAAAAGTGAACTGAAGAAAGAAAAAAAGAGAAAAATGATTTTTTCCTTTAAGTTTGAAGGTTCTTTTTATTTCTTTGCTGAGAGATTTTATTGAGGAAAAGACTGCAGTATAAGGATGTGATTGACAATGACCCCAGTTTCCCCAAACACTGTCTGAAAGTTTGGAGCAAATTTCTGACCATTTTGTTGCTACATTTCTCATTAGAAGATGAGAATAACAATCAGGTCACGTTCTTATTTCTCAGCACTAGTTATTTTCCCTTTTAAAGATATGATTGGCATTTTTATAACATATATTTTAGTGGTTGTCTCTCCTCTGGTTTTTGAGTAGTTCTGTGTTTATTCAACACTCAAAATGTCCACCTCTTTTGTTCCCAAACTCCTGACTTAATACGACCTTTCTGGTGTGTGTATGGGGGTGGATGGAGGATAGTTATAGAGATTTGGGAAGCTTCACTTTATGAATTAATACTTCTGCTTCAGCATAATGTTAGTATTTGATCAAACATAAAAAGCTTCAAGCTTTTAATGTCCTGCTGACACCAGTATCAACAAAGCATTGAAGCGGAAGCTTTCTGGCAGCTGATTAGAGGGAGATTTTATTTCAGTAGCTTTAAGACTAAGTATACCTTTTAAGTAGATCTTTCTCAAGGATAAGCTATAGTGTGCATTATAAATCACATTCAAGAACTTTATTAAAGGACCCTTGATAATTTGGTAATATATTATCACTATGTTTTGGAAAGGTGATAAATGACTGCTTTTTATAGTGTAATTTAAAATAATAATATGGATTACAGTTGTGTTCAGTCATGAAAGTATAATTTAACAGTTTGGCTCATAATAACCTTTTTTTTCCCTTGAAAGTGTCCACTCTTATTTTAGCTCAAGAATGGCTTACCAGGTCATGATTTACAGTCCTTGCTTTTAGAATCTAGTAGGGCTGAACATGTGTTTAATTAGAATTTTATGTTGTTGTGTTGGAAAGCATCATATAAAAATGAAATTGAAAGCTAGAAGATAAAGAGAGTGAAACTGAACCATTCCAATGTCAAAAGTGTGATCTGGGTTTGAAAGTTTGCTGTGTCAGTAGGGCCTCTCCCGGAAGAGGTGACTCATTGGACATAGTTGCTGAAGAAAGTTTATAAAAGTGTGAGAAGATTACGGACCTGTGCCGCTCCAGGCCTGAAGAAGAAAAGTGGCTTCGGTGTTTCTGGACCCGGAAAACGCTATAGCATTGGGAGAAGAAAATGACAGGCATTGAGGCCCAGGGAAGTAAGTGGTCACTGACAAACTGTGTAACAGGGCAAGAAGGGCAGAATTTCAGGGATCCAAATTCCCAAGCTTTCTTTTCTTTTTTTTCAAAAACCATCTTCAAATGTCCTTTCTGGGCCTCCCATTGTGCTGGATCCAACTGAAGCTAGCGTGTCTGGCTGTCCTTGGATGTATTACCTCAGGCACAGAGCAGGATGCAAAAGGGTGGTGTATGGATTTAGAGGAACAGCCAGTACGCATACAGGAATGAGGATTAAAGACTCAGCATTAGTATTTAAAATAAATGTGAGCAATTAGAATCCTGACTCATAGTTTAGATCTATTTTAGCCCTCAAGTCTCATGTGCTTGGGAAGTAATTGGGTTATGAGGAGAGCATTGCTGGCTTGCTCTTGGGAGGTAAGGTCTGGTTGTTGGAAATGGGTGGTTAGGGACATAGCCTGGCAGATCTGTCTCCCTCCAAGCTCCTTTCTTTCTCTGTCTGCTTTCTGTCCGCCATGCTGAGTGACCCTTCTTCACCAAGGCTCTCTACCATGTTGTCCTGTTTTGAGGCCTGTGGACAATGGACTGAAATGTGAGTTGAGGTAGGCCTCTCCTTTGAAGTGCAGGTGTTTTTGTGCCAGGACTAGGAACGTAACTAAGATACTTAGTAATCTACTTTCTGTTTTTCTCCTTTTCAGTCACTAGTAATAAAAAAAAAAGGCTCATGTAAATTTTTCTCTTTTTATTTCTGGGGTTATGTGACTTTCAGAGAAGTTTGTTTTACAGCTTTAATCAGGTTGGACTGCAACTCAAAAGCTTTTAATAAGAATGTATGTTTTTAGGAACAGAGATCAAAATAAAAACAACCACTTCTTGTTACTCTCCAAGACAAAAGGAAGAAGTGTTCTCATATCTAGGATCCACTGGAAAAAAATAAAAATGAACAAATGAGTAACTTTGCATTTAATTTTTTTATGATGCCTCTGCATTCCTGATTTCCGATCCTGCATATTTTTGCTTCAACTCCCTGATCCCAGGTCCACAGAACTATTTGGATTTTAAAGCATTATTGCAACTCTCACTTGCTTGGGCCTGTGAGTTAAGGGAAGAGCCTATTTTCTCTTCTCTGATTTTTTTTTTGCCTGTGAGCAAGGTCTTGTCACGATCCTGTGGTCTAGATGACCTTATGAATAAGACTTCCCTCATTTGTGCCCTTCTAAAGCAACATTCCCAAGCCACCACTGCCCCAATGGAGTCATACACAAGACTTGGAAAAGGCATCACAACATCAGTTTACTGATTTACAATTAGAAATTTAAGGCAAGAATACTCACATAATCAACACTTCTCTCAAGCTTAATGGGAATTTTAACCAAAATCATAGATGATTTTCTTTATCATAGACAATCATTGTCATATGAACCTAGTATACAAAGTTGGGAAGTTAGACATTCTTTTAATACTAGGTAAATGTACCCTAAAGACTTACCTACTAGCTAAGAATTTTTGGTCAACACGAAAATGGAACAGAGGAAGTTAGATTTATGACAAAAGGGAAGATGGTCTTATAATGCATCCTTATCACTAGAGAGAATTCTGAGAGCCCTGAAATCCTAAATACCCATCGCACCTTTGAGAGGCTTGTTCTCTTTTCCCTAGATTGCTGCGGAAGCCTGTCGTCTCTGGCTTGCTTCCAAGGGGCACTGTGTCCTCCCTTCACATCTTTGTTTACAATCTTGATTTTCTTCTTCAGAGATGTTTAAGCAAGCCACAATCTGGGCAGGTGGCTAGGGGAACTATTCTCTATCTTTTTGGATTATTTGTGCTCAGATATATTCTGTGTGGATTTCAGAATTAAATTCCAAGGGAAATTCTCACCTCTTCTGTTTGGGGTAAGCCTCAAGCACTAACAGTGAAAGAAGTGTATGATTCAGCTGGAGTGTTGGTTAGTCAAGTCTTCTGTGGAACAAGGTCCAGCCTAGCAGCTGTGCCCACTGATTTGTTCACACATTGAGTGCCAGATAAGTGTGTTCCCCCAAATCTCCTTATGTTAATTTTACTAGATACTGTAATTTTACTGTTTAATTCTATGACCTAAAATGAGTATGAAGCAAATTCATTTATGAAAAATAAAATGAAAACTTTTCAAAGACAATACATATCTAAAAATTTTGTATTGAGCAAGACACTTTGAAATACAGAAAACCATTACACTGCTTTAGAGCTTGCAATTGAATTGGTCTAACAGACATTTTAGAATTTTAACCCACTGAAGACTGTAAACAAACCCTTATAGCAATGCTTTAGGTGCCAGGCCAACTAAAAGCAATATTAAAACAAATGACACATTCCCAACATTGAAAGGTTAATAGATAATATGTATTTGTTGTTTTAATGGAAAATAAAATGTGTAAGATAAGTATATATCTATTTAACTTTTATGCTCCCTTGGTGTGACTGCGTTTTTTAATTCCCTAACTGAGGTTCCAACTGAGCTGAAAATGAGTGCTTCAAAATGCAGTCTGTGTAGCAGCAGTGTAACCACCAAAAACTACTACACATTGTAGTAGAAATGCAAAGGACTATGTTTTGGTAATAAATGCAGGTTATTTGTAAAATATAACATTAACCTACCCTTTATATGCAATCATAGCTTGTCTTATAAAGCTATACCTAAACAAGTAGGACTTCTTTCTCAATGTTTTTTTTTTCCCCTACATTTTCTTGGGAAGTTTAGTATGACATGCAATGTAGACTCCGCTGAGATTTCATTGTTTATCCCCATTTCCCTGAGCTCTTTAATCTTTCCCATGGCCAGGAGCCCTTGCTTCACTCCAGTACACTAACTGAGAGTTTAGTGTGCAGAGATAGGTTTTCTTTGGCAACTTTAGGTGTCATACAGAGTAAAACGGGAGTGAATGGTCACAGAGGTGTTCATTAAGGAGTACCAGTGGTGATAGCTTGGGTAAACACTTCTCTATTAATCTATGCTCAGTCTTGAAAAAGTCCCTGCTTAGCCTCCAAAGTCCTTGGTGACTCATTCATTGAGTAAACACTTCCTGTTAGGTTCTCAACTTTCCCAAGTCCTTTCTACGAATCTTCCCTTATTCTGTCTTATTTCCTGTATCTATTTGCAGTATGACTGCAGCAAGAGCCCTCCCTGCTCAATCCCAAGTCCATGAGCTAAGTTTCCAAAGTTTCTGTGTCCTAGGAAGGTAAAGTTTAAGCCAGACATGGTGGCACACATATGAAGTACCAGCACTTTGGGAATCTGAAAGAGGATGGCAAGTTTAAGCCTAGTTTAAGCAATTTGATGGGACCTTGTTTCAGAGGAACAAAAAAAAAAAAGAAAGAAAGAAAAGAAACATGGGCTGGGGATGTAGCTTGGTGCCAAGGCCTTGAGTTCAGTACTCAGCACTACAAAGGAGATGGGCGAGGGCAAGAAAGTTTAAATAACTTTTTAGGCTAAGATTTCACCAGTTGTGACCAAGGAGCTCCAGTAAATTTACATGCCACCATGTGGAAACAATAATAAAGTCACAATTTTAGGACTGGGGGAGGGGCAGGAGGAAATATAAAAGCAGTTCTTTTCATAATTTGTCATATTAAATTAAAAATATATTTATTTGAAAAACAGCCAGGTAAATATACACTAAATGTAAAGTAAATAAGAACCTGACAGGAAGAAATGGAAAAGTGCATTTTATATTAATTTTTAAGTCAATTTCCACTAATAAATGGAAGCATAGGAAGCAAATTAAAAATAGCATAGATCAGGATGTCTTTTTTTTTAAAGGAAGACATCATATTGCTACTCATAATTACAAGAAATGGATGATTATGTTTTAGATGAGTTAACTTTGGTCCATCACACTAACTTCATGGTGAGAAGAAAACAGCACTTGAATGATTTTTTTCCCCTTAATTTGTTCTAAATTATAGCAAAGTGCTCTGCAAGAAGCAAGTGCTTGTGTTAATTAACTCTAAGTAAAGAAGGTCACTGGTATACATAGGGCTCATTTTGTGGTTTTAGTTATAGATTTTCTTCTGCAATTAGAATTCATCATCAGGCATTGTAGGCATGTGCAGGTTGTCACTTTTTCATCTAGCACTTCAGAAACGGTCACATTTATTGGTTTTCTAAAAACATTTAAAATGTAATAACACTAATGGGAGACTGACTGGGGAAATAACACAAATGTTTCAAGTATACCATATATAAGCATACCTGGAGTACTGATATTATTCTGAGTTTTGGTTTTATGGTTAAATTTTTAAAATTGCATTTAATTATTGTTCAGTACTTCAAAATTTACAACATAAAGAATTAACAAATCTGAATGTATTTTTATGTAGAATTATAAGCACAGAGATGAAATCATAAATGCTATAAATTCTTGTAAATAATCCATACTATCAAAAATATCATTAGGCTTTAGAGAATCCTAAGCAGCTAAAGACAATATTTATAAAAAAAGATATGACTTTTTAATGCTTATTGCTAATGTTCACTTAGATTTAGTTTCTTTGAAAGCAAGCCATCATTTTTATTTCTAAGTATTTTATGAGTCATTAAACATGTTATTTGTGCATCAGTTATATATACATTATATATTAGATTTGAAATTCCTTCCATAAGTTAGTATTTGAAATCCATGTATGAGCAACAATCTAGATTTATTTGCCTCTTCTAATCCACTCCAATATTAACTAAAAATCATCACCAGCAAGCTAGCTTTAGATGTATTCAACCACAGTACAAAGGTAATAATGTACTCTATGCCATTCCTGTGATAATCTTTTTTTCCTGGAAATTTAAAAGTTAACACAACATTGGTCTTTTTTCTCTGAACATAAAACTAAAAACTTGCTTTCTAACTCAAAAAGATATTAAGAAAGCTGTTTCACCTAAAATTTCCTATGACTTAATGGGTTCCCTGTAATCCTGTTAAGCCTTTTTCTTTCTGACAGAATTAGTACCCCATCCTTTTTCTGATTCTGTTCCTCCTATTACTATTTGTGTTACTTGAATAGCAGTATTCTTATTATCAGACCAGTGAGCCAAGTAAGACACTGCTTGGAAAAGCCTGGTTTCGTTTTTTAAATTCAAACAAGTATGTTAATATTTTTTCTTATCACTTGCTTAGAAATCCAAGATAGATAAAGCACGTAACTTTGTAATGAGTTTTTCACCTAAACAGGGTAAAAAGTCATATTTTTACCAAAAACCTGTACTTTTTTCATTTTCTTTCACCAGATTTTTTTCTCTACAAAAACGTTTTTTAAGCAATAAAAATGAATTAAGTTCTCAAGCAAAGACAGTTACAGTTCCTGTGGTTCCATTGTATAATAAATATAAATTCAGATTATTAATGTGGGACACAACTCATTTCTTGTTAGTTCGTCCTAAATGTATGAACAAATGGAAAGACATGGGGCTTTTTTCTAAGTTTATAATTCCTTTATTTTCAGAAACTTAATCATACCAATATTGTGAATTTTCTCTTTGGTACCTTGGAGAGTTTTTGCAGGGTAAGTTGTCATAGAAAGATTTGGAGTGCAATCCATGCCCCCTTTCTAGGTAGAAAAAAAAAATTTGTGCAAAGAGAATTGAGAAAAAAGAACCAGCATGACACCTTGATTGCATAGATGTTCTCAGCTAAGTCACTTTAAAGAAGAAATAATACATGAAGGATAAAATTCTAGAAGTTGAGATCCTTAAAAATATCCATGCCCTATATCCCTTGGAAATCACTGTGCACCCTCAGAACATGTGTCCTGAATTTGAAGACTGTGATTTAGAGAATGTGTTCCAGAAGTTCGTGGGGGATGGGCATGTAGCTGGGTGATAGAGAACATGCTTAGCATGGGCAAGACCCTGGTTCAATCTCTAGCACCAAAACAAAACTAGATCAAAATGCAAAAAGACCTTATAAAAACTACATGATTAATCAATGATAGGCCTTCATTTAACTTGTTCTGTCACCCACAGGTAGATCTATTAGAAAATTCCAAGGCCTTAGGAGATAGCTATCTAGATTACATAGGAGGCCTGGATTCCTAAATACCTGAATGAAGCAAAGTCCTCTTACAGTTCATGAATGAGAAATAAATTTTTCCTATGTTTCACTTCCAAGATTTTGAGATTGTTTGTTACAGTGTTTAGTCTGCCCTGACAAAGGGAGTAGCTAATGTTCCTGAGTAATGTCTCATCACCATGAGGGTGAAGTGGCCTTGTAGTCAAGAACTTCAGTGTCCAGACAGGGCCTCAAATGGGAGTCACAGCCAGTTATCAGGAAATGAGACCATACAAGAGACAGCCAGGACAGGACCAAATCAAAGAGAAAGATAAAAGCTACTCCACCTACAACTACATAGCAGTTGCCAGCAGAGCTCTGGAGTGGTTAGAAAGCTGCTGTCTATGAATGCCGTGTAACACCTGCAGTCGGTCTCCTCCCAGTAACGGACAGACGGCAAGTTCTCATGAATCTGTCATTTTGAGGAGAAAAGAAAACCCGGGGCTGAATGTCTATCAAACAGATCATCCCAACCACCTGTGATAGGAGTAGAACTTGCAAATAGAAGAAAAATTTAATCTGGAAGAAAACTATTGGAATCAGAAGAACTCAAGATATTAACTGAAAAGTCCAAGCTTTTCTATATCCTGGATCTATAAAGATGCTGAGGTTAATCACAGAAAGCAATTGATTTTTAAAGGGAGGAGGCATTAATTATGTGTAAGTTTGAGATCCAGGTTTTTTTTTTTTCCTCGTCATGTTGTAGCTATGAAATACAGTTCATATTTAAAATAGATGTGGAAAAATTATAGAAAATGTACATACATAATTGATAAAGCAGTATATTTTAGTATTTTCTATTTCTAAAATTTCAGCAGTGGAAAGGAGGGCATGGTTCTGTTTATGGGGGACCCCTTCCCTGGAGATATAGTGCAATACTAATCACTATGAAAATACAGAACAATACTGTTTCTTTCTGCAAAAGCACTTTCCTAATGACATATTTTACCAAGTTGGTGTGTGTGTGTGGGGGGCTTTGGCTGGAAGGCTAATTGATACAGTTTTCACCAAGTCCACTGAAAAGAACAGAATTTTAATTTCACTAGACAGATTGTTAAATTGAGTTTTATACCATCTGTTTACTTCAAGCCAATTATTCATGAGAGTCTTAAATATATAACTGACATACAATATAGTATCTTTTTTAAAAAATGAAGTCCTAAGACTTAGAAATATTGTAAAAGTAGGTTGTCCTAGTGTGTGACCTACACAGCAGTGTTAAAAAGCTGCTATAAGAAGTTGCACTTACTGCTCCAGGCCACACAATCCACTTCCTCTGAGCACGCTCTTCAATCATATTTCCAAGGATCTTGGGTTGCCATTTAGAAATTCATTCATATTTTTGCCCGGAGCTCCCCCTTGTGACTAGTTCCCACCAGCATTCAGGCAGTTGGTTGTGATAATTAAAATGCACACTCTCAGGAAGGTTCTGAAATTCCCCATTTCCCTCTGTCACAGGATCTTACTTAATTTTCATAATTTCCTGCTATTTTTGCACATTGACTTCTTTACCTGGTTACTGTCCATCTTCCCTAAATAGAATATAAGTGCTATAAACACTGAGATGTCCTGACTTGCTTGCCCTAGTACCCCCACTTTCCAGAATAGCACTTTGTTTTTATGTAATCTATGTAATGAGTAAATTTAAATATTGATTATGGAACCATTTTTTCTTTTTCAGACACTGATGAAGGAAGATTAAGTACTTGGTTTTATTATTTACCAACAATATCAATTATTATTAATCTACTAATCTATTAATCATTATTAACCTACTGACTAGTCCAACACAAAAGGAGATGGATCCTAGAAGTCATAGTATGTTACAAAGGACAATTAAGTCAATCCATTTATATAATAATGGTACCTAGACTGCTGCTGGAGAGTAATTCATTAAGTATCTCTCAGTATGTCCTTTAGCCTGGTTTTAATGGATCTATAATTCAGATCAATTTTCTCCTTTTGAATTCCAGTTATATTTTACATCTTTTGGTTAAGAATTTATGTATCTTTAGTTCTTAAAATCCACGAGTTTCAGCAGTATTCAAATATTAATATGTTCTTTTACGCTTATTTGTAAGATACTTTAAAGTATCAAACAGCAATCATTTAGCAATTGAAGTTTTTTTATCTAGTTTTTAACTATATGGCTGCTTATTAGAGTGTGATGTTCACCAATGTCTCTATTTAAAGAAATGCGACCAAAATACATACAATCCCTGTACTCAGGAGGCTGAGCCAGGAGGATTGCTACAAATTTGAAGCCAACCTGACCTACACAGTAACACCATGTCTCAAAAATCAAAAAGAATTTTTTTCTTTTTAGTTTGAGAAGTCAGGCCCAATAGAAATGAATATTACTCTAAATTAGTTGAGAGCCCAGAATCTGTTTTTCTTTCTTTTATACTGGGGATGGAACCTGCTAGTCCTATCACCCAGCCTGAGTTACATCCTCAGCCTTTTTAAAATATTTTATTCGGAGACAGAGTTTTGCCAGCCTTGAACTTGAGTCCTCCTGCTTCAGCAGAATCTCTGGGATTACAGTCATCTGTCTCCGTTCCCAGCTCAGAACCTGTCAGTTTTAAATTTAAAAATTAGCATTTTCCAAACCTGGCTATGAGAATGATTAAATTAACACAAACAGAAACTCTCTCAGAAACCTTTTTTCTCTCATATATAAAATAGGGGCCAGGGATTTAGCTCAGCAGCATAAGTGCCTGCCTGGCAAGCACTAGGTTGTAAGTTCAATCCCTGGTACAAACAAAACAAAATAAAATAAAAACCAAAAGATCTTCTCATATATAAAATTGATTTTAAAATTTTCTTTGCTGTACTTTTCTCTCTTTTAATTGAATGGGTGTAAATGTCTGAATAGGCACCATCTTAGTCTTAAAATTCCTCCCAAATTTTAGTAGGAACTTAAAACAAAAACTGCTATTCCCATTGATTTGTGAGTTTGCACACACAGGAAAGTTTCCTTTAATTCCTCTCATCTTTCTGAAAATTCTCCTTTCTAACAATGGATCAGTTTACAGAAATGAGTAACTCAAAATCCATGTGACGTGGTTATAATTAAAGGCTGTTAATCACTCTATGAGTAATTAAAGTAGTGAGACTATTCACATTCTAAGGGCATCGGGTAAAAGGGAAACCCAGACAGGACTCCTTTGGTCTTTCTTACTATCACCTTCACTGCTGAGGTGTTCTCAGACTTTGTTGTCATTGGTCATTCTTCTCGAGATCAGATATGACAATATTTTCTTCTTCTAAATGTACTGTACTCAAGTTGGTTGTAGGATAGTAAGGGTTGCCAAGCCCTGTGAGTCTCTGGAAGAAGTTACTATTCCTCTTGTAGATGTAGAAGGACAGTGTGGAGATGACCAGGATTACTGTCAGTGTCAGCGCGATTGCCAGTGGAACTGTGCTGTGACTGGGCTCTGAAAGACAATAAAGAAACAGAAAACCTCAGTGACAATGAGGTAACAGAGATACTGTCACATAGTTGCTTTCTATTTTACTATTTCTAAGAAAAAGCAACATATCACAACCTACCTTTTCCTGGAAGCTCCTTTTCAATGCCAATATCTAAAATCAATAAAGAATTATAATTAATGTTTTCAGCAAAATTATGCCACTACATATAGCAGGGTTCAATAAACTATGGTGTATGTGTCAAATCTGGCCACTTACCTCTATAAATAATGTTTTATTGGAACTCAGCCAATTCATTCATTTATATATTGTGTATGACTGTTTTCATGAAGCAATACTCGAGCGACAGAGACCACATGGTCCCTAAAGCCTAAGTATTCACTCTGTGGCCCTTTGTAAGACAAATAGGTTCCCCTGGATTATAGTGTTTATTATTAGTGCTCACAAATACAACTCGTTTTTTAAGCCAAAGAATTTCAGTACTATGGTGCAATAGAAATACAAGAAAAATCTAATGTAGATTTTGTCCAGCCAGGATAACAACCTGGCTCTGTGCAAGGATTTCACATGAGCATCTTCTTACCTTTATCACCTAAAGAGAAATGTGATACAGGAAAAGAATAACTCTTCCACTTAAAATGTGAGCTAGCCCTGTTTTAGGACTTTCTATCATACAAACATATGTCTTTCAAGTAGACTATCCCAGATTTGAAATTGAAATTTTTGATCTGGGTAAAGGCCTGAGGAAGATGTAGATGATGATCCAGAGGAAGCTCAGTGAATATATCTGCAAAAGGAGGAGACACTTGGATATCCTAGTTACACTCTCTCTGAAGGATGCATAAGAAACATCACTGTTGTTAGCAATAGCGAACCACAATTTTATTTTTATTTTTATTTTTATTTTTATTTTTTTTTGTCGTTTTCATTTTTTTATCGGTACCAGGGATCGAACTCACGACCGCCTGCTTGCAAGGCAGGTGCTTATGCCGCTGAGCTAAACCCCCAGCCCGCGAACCACAATTTTAAAAAACTCCAGTAATTTAAAAATGTGAGGTAATTTGGCATTAAATTATTGAAAATATTGTGCATAAAAGTACTTCTTTATAAAAGACCATTAAAAGATACTTATCTTCATGATAAGGAAGACATAGAAGGAGCATTTAGGAAATTTTCAGTGTACTCCTTGATGGAGCCTCAGTTTGGACAAGTATGCTTCTCATCTGTAAAGAGGGGATATTTTAACTGCTTCACTACCTTGGGAAGTTGCTGTGAGGATGTGAGGATACAAGATGTGTTGTGGGAGCTGGGGATTTAGCTCAGTGGCATAAGAGCCTGCCTGGCAAGTGTGAGGTCCAGAGTTTGATCCCCAGTACCAAAAAAAAAAAAAAAAAAAAAAAAGAATCTGCTTTTAAAAGAGGTGTTGTATATTATTAAAAGTGTTGAAGTCCTGTACATACAAGAAAACACTGGGTGTTTCTGACTTGTTCTTGATACTTAGAGTCTGGTAATAACTTAGGTCTACTATTTGTTAGCTTTAATCAGGTTTCTCACACAGAATTAATACTAGTGCTACTAAGCCTTTAAATACTGGTGTCCACACCCACAGATTGTCTTCCCTTTGTTCCTACTGTCTAATCAGTCTCCAGTGCCTGATGGGTCTCTCTGTCTGTTTGTTCCCTCCTTTTCAAGTTCTATCACTGAGATTTCACATGCTGATCTTTGCACTGGATGAGTGCAATTGTGTTGCAGGGATCCACAGAGCACACAGCCGGTTCCTATCTCCTGCATTAGGCAGTTCAGTCTATTAGCCTGGCACTCTTTGCAGCTGGCTCCTGCCTCAGTAGTCAATTGTATTCCCATTACCCCAAACAGAAGCCTTCTACTCCAGTCTAACTCATCATTTTCCATTGCTGCCTTTGACCATTCTAGGCCTTTTGTTTTTCCTGTTTCAGCATCTAAAATTCCCTTCATCCTTTGAGATTACAGAGCCTCATCTTTAAAGACTTCTTCAGCAGCACAGGGAACAACAATCCCTCCTTCCTGATAAGAATGGCATCTAGAATATATTCTGATTACTACCCACACCTTCCCGCCATCCATGATCCTTCTTTACATCTTATTGTAGAAATCTTTGCTGTTGTTTGCAGAGATTGAATCTTCTGGTTTACCTTTCTAAAATTAAGTTTCATCACTATACACTAAGTGTACTTTTCCAAATGAAGTTAAATATGACAAATTACACTTTTATGACAAATTATACTTCCAACAGAAAATTACATCTACTTGTTCACAAAAACATACACCAACTATAGAGGTTCCATTTCTTGAGACTGAAGATGGAATTTTAATAGTCTGAGTAGCAACATTTAGTATATGTGTTCTGAAGAGAGCCCTGAGTAGCAACATTTAAATGAAAGTTGCTAGTTTATATTCTAGTTCTCTTTGCTTGAGGTAAACAGCCTTTTTGCCTGTTCAATTAACAGTCAAGATGTCACAAAAAAAGTCACAGAGTCTTAATATTTGTAAGGATTTGTTCCTTCACATCAGTGAAAAAAGGAGCTGTACATTTTTTGGCTTATTTGCTATAGAATAGGATGATAATTCCAGGTCCTATCAAATAATCTCTGAATACATGGATTTAATGTAACCTTTAAATGTTGGAGTGGTGGGTTAGGGTTAGTCAGGGTAGAATCAAAACGAAGAATTACCCTCTGATGTTACCAACCTGCCTCCATTTTACATATAAACCCCTTTTTGTCTTGACACGGGGATAACTGCCACACTCCATCAGGGATCCGCAGGGCAATGCACTGGTGGGACTTGAGAGGCTCCAAATCTGGTTTCCGAATGCCCCAGTTTGACTGGTCTGTGGGTGTTCCATCAAACCACTTGATGGTTTCATCTGTGGAAAAATTACTGACTTAATGATGAAGGTGAACACCGTTATGAGACATTCTAAGTCTGAAATGAAGCAACGTAAAAAGAACCTCCAAAATTTAATGAGATTCTTTTGGAAGCATCTGCCTACCTCCCTAAGCACAGTCATGTACCCAACATCAAAATGTAGGTATTAACAAAGGTACCTTGTGAGCAATCCTCTGTTTACTTTTGATGTATTTTTTTCATTTAGTTCATTTAGAGTATCATTTTTTTTAATGGAACAGCTTGAAATTGTAAATGTTCCATGTAATTTTTAACCAATTTAAAGAAGCCATTTAATAAATGAAAGTAGTCAATGTAAAGAAAGAATCCTTTGAAGTCCTAACATCTATGTCATTACAAAATGACTCACTTTCTAAAGAAATTTTACACTGCATTTTAAATAGCAAGCCAGTAATATACCAAGAGAGTAGGGCGAGGGGAGAGATCACCCTGGGCCTAGGCAATAAGGTATGCATGGGGTGCACTGTCTGAAAAGAACTTAAAACTAACAATAATGTTAACTAAAAGTCAGCCTGCTTTTTATTATCACCATCTGCTAGGAATTCTAAATAATGTCAGTGATTAAGATATCCCTTGCAAGGGTAGACTCACCCACTGCCCTGTACACCACTGCAACAAGCTCTCTATGCCAATTAAAACAATTTTCCTTAAAAGCAGTACCTTTCACTAACCATCAATTACATAAAGAAAGGAATACCATGGTTCCATTTTATTACAAACACTGCTATTTATGAGTAGAAAATAAGAATTCTAATAGCACAGTTTATCAATGAAACATTTCCATAACTTCACTGTGCTTTTATAATGCTTAAGAACCAGGAGTGTTTTCAAGTCAGTATGGGTGTGAGGCGCTGCGACGGAGTCTGTGAACAGAGTTCCAGCCAAGCATCTTCGCAGTGAGTATAAAGTTAAACTTGTTGTTTGTTTTGATGTCTGTTATTCTGGGATTATTTCAGAGAGCATAAAAAAGATAACAGTTGTTTTTGGAAAAATGGCTTTAGGATTCATGCTACTTTCTTTTCCCAGCAAATGTATCCAATGAGAATTTTCTGCTCACAGATGCCATTATCATCAGACTTAACAGCCATATATTTATTTATGCCTTCTCCTCATCTCTACTCAAATCACTTACTGTTACTATCAAGTTGAGCATTCAACCAAACCATCTGGACAATAGAATCAAAAACTAAAAGCTCTTCTAGGAGAAATAAATTTTCATCTTCATCCTTGATTGTTAACAGATTAGATCCTACAAAAGAGAAAAACAGCAAATGAGCAAGTATTTGTGCTTACACATACATATAATTTTTATAATGTTTTCTATATCATTACTGGTAGAGTTCAGGCTATAATGGTCAAAAATTTTATTATTTAACATGGCGTGTATATGCGTGTGTTTGTGTGTGTGTGTATACTTATGTGTGGGCACTTGACTGGGGGTGTCAATGAGAGCCTCACACGTTAGATATATGATCTACCACTAAAATATAAACTTACCCCCAAATTTCCCTCATTAATAAATGATTTTTGATTAAAACTTTAAAGGAAAGCCATATTTATTAAAATTTATCTGCTTGTCCTTAAGAAATTAAAGCAGTGTTAATTTTAGACAATATTAAAAATTCATAATGCAAGTGCATTCAAAAGGAACTTTTTCCTGGGAAAGTGCAATATGCTGAGAAATCATTTTATCTTTTCAAGTTCTAAACTGGACATTGAGTTGCATATATTAGCTGTCCTTCCAACAAAGAAACTCATTAATATGCATTTTTAATAGTTTTTCATTACTCCTAATGTCACTAACTAATCAGACAAACGAAACCACAATGCTTACTGAAATGTCAAGAAGAAGCACATAAAAGCATTTTGCCATCACAAAAGAATTACCTTCCTTTTTGCAAAATTCATGAGCAGCCTCAAAACTCATATGGTCTAGGAGTGTAGAAAAACTGTAGCAATTACTCTTAAATTTTACCCAGGGAATAGATGTTTCTGAGCACATTGGGTGTCCAAATAACTTTATCTCTATGAAGAAAAACCAGTTATGATTTCAGGCTGGAGATGGGATTCATTATTGAAGTAAATATTGCATTACATTCTATGAAAGACCAAGATAAATACATGTGGTAAGATTTTCATGATTATAAAACTTTAGTCAGTTTTTAGCATTTCTGTCAGAAATAATCCTTACCTAAACATAGCAGGGCATATTAATACATAGTTTACAGCAAGGGTGGGACATCTGAAAAATGTGATTCTTGGAAATAGTGGCAGAAAAATGATGCTGGCAAAGGCATTTCTAAATGTACAAAATACATTCTATGTAGTGCTGAGTATCACTTGGTAATAAGCGTAAGTGAGAAAATAATGCATTTGGTAAAGTATCACGCCATAACATAAAGGAAACTTGAGGGAGCTTTACATCAGAGAGCAAGTGAGGCAGTCAGGCACAACCTGCTGAGGTCCTGGCTTCACCTTTTCCTATGTGTGGCTACATTACCCGAGGCCCATTACCCCACATGTTGGTTTCTTTATAAAGGGAGCTAATAATGATACAATTTTTACAATTTTATAATCTTCAATGCACTAGTGCCTGATACTTCCCAAGCACTCAATGAATTTATTGTTTTCAAAAAAGGAAGAGCAGGTTTTACAGTACATTAGGAACAGAATTAATATATATTATATATTCTTATATGCACAGTTAATCTTATTAACTAATCACATCCTCAGTCATAGTCCTCTACCCATGCTCCTGATGTTTGTTTCTTGTCTGATTTCCCTTCTTTCCCTTACCTGTAGCCAGTGATAAAGGTAAATCTCAACATCAGTTTTACCTCACATGTACCCAGTCTTGCCATCCCTCTATTTTTGTCCAGATTTTCTCCTAAGAAGGTTTCACCATGTTCTATTATCGCTCATGCATATCTCAGTCTTTCAAGGCCATCTGCACTTTCATGTCCTTCAAGAAGCCATTCTGTAATTTCCCAAATGGATAGGATGCATTCTTTCCTTAAGAATCCCACACCCCTTACCATCCTATTTGAAAGCCACGGCTGGTGGAACAGTTATTTGTCTTTACATCACTTATGAGGCCAGAGACTTCTGCACAGAGACTTCTCACTACTCATGTCTGTACCCACGGTGCAATGCAGCCTTGCACACAATAGGTGCACAGGACATATTTCCCCACTCAACATAATTGTACCTACCAGAGGGAACGTAACAAATGGCACCCTGCAGAAATGACTCGCAGGCTGTGCTATGCCAGCGTCCATTTGTGTCAGCAAAAACACAGTCACCAGAGAAGGATGACTCTTCATCTTTCCAGAAAGTGAAAGAGGACTTGGTGCCATCTGACCAGCCAAAATTACGACCATTCTGTGGAGGGAAATTGAGTCATCATCTCCTTGGCAAGACTGCTGGTGACATTACCCAGTGCTGTCCAAGCATCCCATATTTTCCACAAAGATTTTTATTTCCCTACTTTTTTATAAGACAGTTTATGAATACAGCCTGACCAAAAGGAATATCTACCATTTGGCTTTTAGGAAGCCTTGGCTTTTTGCCACCATAATTTCTGAGTAAATAATCATAGGGAAGTAGGATCAAAACCTTGTTTCTTTATACCAAAATAAATTCCAGATTGATCAAAGATTCAAAGATAAGACCAAAACATAAAAAGGTTAAAGAAAACTTAGCTAAATTTTTAATATATGTTTGGTATACAGAGACTAAGTTATACAAAATGCAGAGGCCACACAGCAAAATTGACTGCATAAATTTAAATTATTTTGATACAAAATAAAAACTACACAGTACTGTTCTTTCACCCAACCCACTGGCAAAGATTAACACTTTGATAATATCAGATGTTAGTAAGGATGTAAAGGAAACCTAGTAATTCCAGGCATGGCGGCTCACACTTTTGTAATCCCAGCACTTGGGAGGCTGAGGCAGGAGCATTGTTGAGGTTTAAAGCCAGTTTAGGCTGCGTAGTAGGTTCAAGGCCAGCCTGAACTACATAGCAAGATCCTGTCTCAAAAACAAAAAACAAAACTCAAAAACTAGATGTTATTATATGGAGTGTAATTGGTGCAGACTCTTGGAGGATGATTTGGCACTACTTGTCACAATTTAAGTGTGCTTAGCAATTTCATTTCTGGAAATTTACCCTAAATGTACAGATAGTTTTTTGTTGTGTAAAAATGTATTCTCAGGAGAATGGTTTAATAAATTATATGTGGCATAGTATATTCTTACACTTTACTGTTCCAGAGGATGCATGAGATTTTTACGTGCTCAGGAGGAAAATTATGAAAAATATCAAATCTAAAAGCAAATCCAAGGAACACATACATGGTACAATCTCATTTGTGTTTTATACATATTACTCTGTCACATGTGCATGATGTGGACAAACAGATAATTTCTAGATGATACACAAGGAATTGCTTATAAGCGGAGTAGAACTAGGGCTTAGGATAGAATTGAACTTACTTAACACTACTTGGGTATAATACTTTTATTTACAAATACCAGAAAACAGAACCAAAAACTTATCCTCCAAATCTCTCAATATCAGAGCAAAAATCCCAATCTCAAACCCCACATGTTAAATTTCACGAGGTACTGAATTAATTAACAATCTACTTTCTTTCTTCCTTTTTTTTCTTTTTGGTACTGGGAATCAAACTCACAACCTCGCTCTTGCCAGGCAGACACTCGTGCTGCTGAGCTATATCCCTAGCCCTGGCCCAGCAATCTACTTTCTAGGCAGGAAATAGAAGTCATTTTTCTTGGGGATTCCTGATATGCAACAAATTACCCCAATACAATGCTTGAGTTCAAGAAGTGTTCAGAAGCATAGATGTGTCAGGACTCAGGGAACTTTAGGGGAGCTTTAAGTCTAAAAATTAAGCAAGTTATTGTTTACTTTAGAAAGATAGACACTCTTATTTTGTAGTCATAGTCTCCTCCTAAGATTAGTTAGCAGTTTTTGTGTAAATCAACTATTTAAACCTTACATTTACTCTTATTACTAGGAAGTTATTTTCCGTACTAATTTCAGTGGCTATGTCTTGTCACTAAGGCAGTAGATGTGAAATTCAATTACACAAAGATGTTCTAAAGGACTTAGGACACCTACATCAGTGGTGAACAGTCCAATCCAGTGATCATATCCCAGCCGGTTGAGGATGACAGTGAGGAAGGACTGATGATACTGGTCTGCAATGCTGACAAGTTCTGCTCCATGCATTATGCAGGTTCTTATTGCTGCATACCAAGTCATATTTGCATTAATTATTTTGTAAGTTCTGTCTCCATATTCTAAGGTATTGGGGACTGGGTACATATCTGATGCATTTACACGGGGTCCAGAAGTATCTAGAACAAGAACAACAGCATCTTTGTAGCATCTGATGAAAAAAGAGAAAATAAAACTTACAGATCTCTGTCACCATGACCCATATTGATCGGGGAATTTTTCTTCCAGAATTGACTATTTTGAAATGAAGATCTTACCTGAAAGTACATACTATGCTAAAGAATTAGAACACTTAGGGAATTTAGTAAGTGAGTTTCTTTAAAAATATAAACATAGACTGAATCATTTCTGGCTTTTTCATTTATGACAACCCTTTGCCAAACCAGCCACTCTTTGGTAGATAATCTGTTTAGTCGGGCTTCACTCTAGTAGGTACATGCTCCAGCAGACTCCATACTTAATAAGGGACTATTAACAAATATAACACAGTCATAGATTGCATTGAAAATCTAATTTTACTAGCATGTATTCTCAGATAAAACACTTGGTTAACTTCTGACCCTGTATGACTATCATTACCATTGGTTAATGTATAAATTCTAAAAAGAATTTAACTCAAGTTAATAAATACTACAAAGACACACAACTGCTATAATCAGTTACTATCAAGGCATCACCTTTCAGAGTCCATCTCTATAAATCTAAAGGCAGTTTTTCCAGCACGTGATAGCGGGGCCTGCCTGTTCACCAGTGCCTGTGACCAGGTGAGCGGCAGCCTCTGTCGGGCCCGCAGGCTCCCTTTCACTGTGTGCACCTGCCTTTTTGTTTGGTACTATGCTATGGGCTGGGACAGGCTGAATGAGGCAAAGCTAAAACATGAAAACAAAGTTAAGTTTCTGTACTACTTTATCTAAAGTGACTTAATTCCTCTCTGTTTACTCATTTTACTATATTTGAAACCCCTGCAAAGGAGCGTGCTGAGGTGTGGATATGGCCAAAAAGAAAAAAAAAAGGATTAAGCCCTTCGCTGTCCCTAAATAGCTGAAATAATCTTGGGTAAATTAATTTCCCTAAACTCAAATTTCTGGTCTATGAGAAGTTAATGAAGTCTGCTTTAGAGAGATATGGGTTGGAATTCATTGAATTATGCATAGAGGATACATACTGTTGTACCTGGACAGGCAGGCACTCAAGAAATGTTGTTTCTTGCTCTCTTCTCTTGCTCTGGTCAGACTCTCCCACAGTGAAAAGTCGAAAAGTAGGAAACTGACTTTTCCTGAAACTGCTATCTCCATATAGCAATAGCACCCATTGCAAACAAAACCAAAATGAAATTTTTCTATTAACCAACTAACTTGTGATGGGTTGTGTTTTATCAGTTTATCCTTTTCTAGAGGTCTGTCAGTCTACGTACCCAGTCTATGGTTATTTTTACTAAATTAGTGCAATAACAAAGTAGCTATTTCAAAATGACAAAAATTAGTAAAATTTTAAGTAATTGAAATTCAGTGGGGTGTGGTGGTACATGCCTGTAACTACAGCATTCTGGGAGGCTGGGGCATAAAGATTGCAATTTCAAGCCCACCTTGGGCAAATTAATCACTTAGTAAGACTCTGTCTCAAAATTTAAATAAATAAATAAATAAATAAAAAGGACTGGGATGTAGCTTAGTGCAAAGACCCTGGATACCACTAAAATTCCTCAAGACCCCTTTAAAAATAAAAGTAATTACAGTTCTTTGTATATGTGACTCAAATGTCAACTTCACTATGTCCCTCATTCAGTTATACTTCTGTACTTTTATCTATATGAATTTCTCCTTAGGTAATTAGTTCCATCAAATTACATCAACACATAAGTGATTTTCAGCAATGTGATTTTTTGCTCATTGCTCTGAAAAAGAAAGATCTATTGAAAATGAGATTCTAAACCAGCAGGGTTAGATCTTGACTTTGCCTTTATCTTTCTTTTTATTCATATCTCTTTTATCTCTTAGTCAGATAAGCACTTTTAGGCTCAAGCTTAATTTGAGTACATGTGGCAAATAAAGGAGTAAAATTTTTGTATTCATTGTAATTTACAAGAATTTGTTAAGTTGAATAAAACTTTCATAATAATAATTTGTGACACTATCATTTGTTCAACATATGTTAGGAACTATAATGAGCATTATATATACACTCTTTTCAGAGCCAATGTTTTTAACCACCATTACTCTCTACTACTTTCAAAAGAACACCTATAATACTAAAGAAAGGAAGGAGTAACAGAGCAAATTTAAAGAAGAGATCACTTTCACAGTGGTAGAATACAATCATCATATTTGACTGAGAGTCCTTAAGTGTGTTATTATTTTAAGCCTGAAGTTCTTTATCTATAAAATGGGGAGACTTTGACCTATTTCATTGTCTTGAGGATTTTTATAGCTTACTGCTTATAAGCCAAAGGTACAGTGCCAAGTTTTTCATAAGAGTGCAAGCACATGGTATGCTGATATTCTTTCTTTCCCTCCAAGGCTCCTCCCCTCCAATATTCTCTTATTATTACAGATTTAGTATATTCTTTCAGTTCCTAACTGCTAGCTTAAATGACAATTAAGAACCAGAAATGGAGCATTCCTGGAACTGCTTTGCTGAGGATGGAGTGACACTTAGTAAGCAGAATTCATGCTCCAAGTAAGCACACATGTGCCAGGCTGCCCAGAGTTCCGCACAGCCCCAGACTCAACGTGCCCTCCCGGAGCAGTGTGGTATAGATACCCGGTACTCAGTGAAAGCAACAGTTGTAGCCAACATGAAGGTCTTTTCTTTACAAGGTAGCCTTTTAAACGCATTATAGCTTCATTAGAGTATCGGAAAATAGACTAAGACAAATATATAATCCTAGAACAAAGGAACAAAACTACAGGCCTAAAGTGAACGCATACACTTGGCTACCGTCAAGTGGCCTTAGCAATGTTTAGAACACAGCTAAAGTACATAGTCCAAGGGTGGCAGGGGTTAAATGACTAAATATATGCAAATACAATGTACAAATGCTTTAGAATGTTAGCTGTGCAAGTTTGCTGTACAGCCACGTAAAACAAATATAGAAGATAGGAGGGTCAAGAAAATGAAAGGAATCAAAACTCAATTATGTCTTACCCTGCATTTTTTCACAAACAAATCCATAGCTTTCTTTTCCACAGTCTTCTAAATACCATTTTCCAGTGAAGTGAAAATTAGGATTACTTGACAGCAAGGCACAGAGTGAAGTATGTTTGTGAACGTCTGTGGTATGATAATTTGGAACCTTTAAAATAATATACATGTTATAAAAATAAGGTAATGTAACATTATAACATTGAAGTATTTATTTAGAACATAATTGCAAAAATCAAAACACCACTCTTTTTATTTATAATTAGTAAATTTATTCACAAACCGCTTTATAACTTCTACAATAAATAATCATCATGATGAATTATTACATTCATACATGAAATTGTATGAGTAAAAACTGACATTTTTTTGGTATCAGGGATCAAATAAAAGTTGACACATTAATAAACTAAAATAAATTTATATATATATATATATATATTTGAAAGAAATAAGCTTTACTAAACAAGTCTTGAACAATATATTTTGTTACAATAATTTTTAAAAAACTTGCAACTTACATTCACTATATCAAATGGAGACCAGTTAGAATAAATCACGGGCTTTCCATTTAGCCATTTCTCATAATCATCAATTTGTAACCCTATCCACACATTAGTGGTGTGGCCAAAAAGATTCATGGTAATGAAAGCTGAAAAATAGGAATACATTATCTAATTGAATACCATATAAACCATTTGGGTAATCATCAAATTCTCTTTAGAGCTCTGATTGTATTTAAATGATAGCAAAACTTAATTAGGAATCAATTGTAGAATTTGTTACTTTGTCCTTGTTAAGGTAATGCAGTTTCTTTCAGTTTTGTTTCAAATTTGTTTTCAATTGACAGAAATTAGCTCCATAACCTGAGATTCCATCTATCATTAACAGGGCAATTTCCAGTGTTTATTCAATGCTTTTTAAATAACAGAGGACTTACCTACTATAAGTAAACTAAAGTACATAATTGCCTACATATCAAATAAAAGTGTGTAGTTTAAAGGGATCTAAAAATTACCCCATGCAATTATAGCAGATTGTACTTGGGATTATTTTAACAAATTTGAAACAGAGATCATAAATAAATCTATTCTTTTGAGCTACTGGTAAAATCCAAACCTCTAAAGTCCAGCAATTGATAAAGCAATGCAGTATACTGACTTTTTATAGATGTTATGACATAAAACCTTATGAATCACACTGAAAAATTATGTGTCATCAACAATATACTATTTCAAATGTTGACTTGGAAATACTAATGTTCTTGAATATTTTAATTACTACTTGAATAAAAATGATTATTTTGGCCCCATGAGACATGGAGTACCCTACCTTGTTCCACTTCACTTTCTATGGCCACCAACGTTCCACCCTTGGCAACGCAGAAATCTAGAGCTCCTGTCCAGTTCTTTAGATTGCTTGGGTCTTTGGGGACCACCACTAACAGGCACTATCAAAAAACATCAAAATAAAGTGTTAGTTTCTGTATCTTTTCTAAATGAATTAAAAGTGTCTCAGAGATACTGAAGATCAGCCTTGAAGATTCTCATAATTTTCCTGGACATAAAGAACTCATTTTTCTTCCAGCTCCTCGCAAAGTGACACAAAGAAGAGAGCTTTCAGGGCACATCAATGACTTGCTACCTTTGCTAGGCAGAGCTCAAGCAAGGCTATGTTTTATCATGCAGGATCTTATTCTTGCTCAATGGAAAATAGTCATGTTACTAAAAAGGAGCCAGTCAGCATGCAAAGTTTGCAGTGGCAAATTTAATCTCAAAAGAAATCTGGGAGTGACAATGATCAGTTTACTTACAAGCATACTTGCTCACCTTGCCCAGAAGAGGGATGTTGGGAAAGCAATACACATTACCTACTGAAACTCACTAAACCCTCCTGAGTCAGCCAGTTAGTGACTAAGTCAGTTGAAAAATGCCAGGGGGAAAAAAAGAGTCCAGTGAGAGAAGAAGCAGCCAGGACAAGACTACAAAGGAAAAACAGGAGGTCAAACAAAGGGGAAGGCTGCCACTAATGTTCAATGGAACACAAAAAAGGTTGTGGGACTCATCAATAACAGTTCATTGTTACAGCAAGAGTCGTGGCATAAGATTTTTGATTATGGGATAGAATGAGAAGTGGAATGATACATGCTAAGTGGGACTGGCAGGATCAAAAATAAGGTTTTTCTTGCTCTGTGAGGCTCAATGGAATTTAAATACATTGGTAGGATCAAATGGCATTAGACAAAAGGGAGAAATCAAAGAGAAAGGCCAAGGTAGACAAAACAATATGCCAGAAAAGTTAGGAGAGATTTTATGCAAAGGAATTTCCATCTAAATTTGCCTCTCTTGTGCTCAGTTCCTAATGTGATAAACATAGCTAACCCCAGCCACTGATAAATCTGATCCAAAAAGATCTGTTACAAAATAATTCTAGATTGTGATAGAAACGAGAGAGAGAGAGAGAGAGAGAGACAGAGACAGAGACAGAGACAGAGAGAGCAATCCTTCTCTATTATACTTTCAAATAATTATCTTTCTTCCCTGAAATTCTTTAATTTCTAAATTTGTCAGTTTTCCATCATCAAATACTTCTTAAAAACAGAGCAACTGTCTTACTGTTCTTACACACCACATTAGAGAATGCCCCCTATAACATTTAGGGCATAAAATGAGTCTAAACTGGTTGCCAAATGACATTCTCATATACCCTAGATTTAGCTCAGTGTTTTTTAAACAGGGTCATTTTGCCTCTCAGGGCATATTTTGAGAAAGCCTGGAGACATTCTGGGATGTTACACATTAGGGGACGGTTCTTATTGGCACCAAGGATGCTGTTGAACATTATATAGTGCATCAGACAGACTCCTTCCCTACAGCAGAGAATCATCAAGCCCCAAATGTCAACAGTGCCAAGATAATCCCTTCCAAAGACCAGCTCTGATCATGTCATTCTTTAAATCCTCAGGGGTTTGCTATTACTTTTAGGATAAAACCTGGAAACCTTGATCTAGCCTGAAGTAGAGTTACCAACCAAGACAGAAATGCATTTTTAATTCTCCTGGTCCCTTTTGCCTTGTTTGCTTCACAAAGAAACTGAATTGGCTTTAAAGGAGTTTAATTTTATAACAACTATCCTTTCATCTGTTTCTTTTCATTTTGTCCATTTCTTCCAATTACAAATTCTAAAGAGTGGCACTTCCTAATTATTAGAAAGTCTTATCATTTAATGTGAATTCACTTTGTGCTCAGATAGTCACACTAATGAAGCATTCATAAATACCAATGAACCTCACTGGTTCACTTAGCCCAATAAATCTCTCCAGACAAACACTACCCTCCTTAATTTCCCCACATATTTGCTTGATAGTATGGCCTCCTACAATCATAACTTGATTGTTTTTTTTTAAATGTAACATATTTACTAACACACTCCAAAATTATAGTATTAATAATTAAATAAGGCACAAGATGGAGTGTATCATCCTTAATTTTAAATTGTCTACTTATTAAATTGTAAAATTAATTTTGAGTTTAATGTATCTCTAATTATCATTGTAGATTAAGAAAGTCTTACTATATTGTAAATGAATTTTGAATGTAGAATTATTTTTGTCTCAAAATAATTTCTAGCTCAGCATTTGTAAATCTTATTCAAGATCTTTCCTCTGAATGTGATATTTTCCTAGTGTTCCTGCTGACATCAAGTGATACTGACAGCACGCATTTACTTAAGTCTGAAATCTGAGTGAGATCCCCTCTCTCTGACTCCATCACTGTTATGGTTTGAGAGATCCCCTCTCTCTGACTCCATCACTGTTATGGTTTGAGAGATCCCCTCTCTCTGACTCCATCACTGTTATCATGCAGTCATGGAAGTGGGCTTCTAAAGTTTGTGAATGACTCATTGTCCAGTGCTGGGATTATGGATGTGAGTGCCAGGTGGGTGTGGCCTACATATAATATAAGGGACTGAAAGACTCTTCTCTCTGTGCTCCTCTTTTGCTCTTGTTGCTCTGCTGCCATGAACTGTTGCCTGCTATTATGAGCCACTCGGACTTGGAGCTAGCTGATTATGGACTGAAACCTCTGCAAACTAAATAAGCCTTTCCTTCTCTAATTTTGGGTGTTGGGTATTTTGTCCCAGCAATGACAGAAAAGTAACCAAGACAATTACCTCTGTAGCCCCTGTCTCAGAGAATACCTTGTTCTCCCATTCTCACTGTCCCGTAGTCTCTGCCAATACTACCTTAGCTCAAACTACTAATCTTTTGCCTGGACTTTTGCAATAACTGGGATGCTACCCTTCTCACCCTTGTCCCACTGTAGTTTAAAATCCTTCAGGAGTTTCCCATTGTTCTTAAAATAAAAACCAGAGACTTTGACATGATACTACCTTTGCCTACTTCTTTTGTCTCACTTCCCCCTAGTCCAGCTCTCTATTCTTTAGTTTATGAATGTCACATTCTCCTCCACCACATGACCTCAGTGCATGTTACTCTCTTTACCTAAACAAGTCTTTTCTGACCAGCTCAATTAGGTCTGTCATTCTGTTATATACTTATAAAATTATGTAACTTTTTGAGTTCTCTACTAGAGGTGCTAGGGATTGAACTTAGGGCCTCATATCTGGCAGTCACTCTGTCACTGGGCTATCTCTGCAGTTTGAGCTGTATACATTGCTTTAATACACAATTATTTAAATTATAGTTATTTTCTTGATTGATTTACTGAAGTTTCTTCTCTTTGTAGTTTGTAAGCCCCCAATGAGAAGGCATTGTGGTAGTTTTTGAGCTTCCAGTATTTAAGAGTAAAGTAAATGAATGAATAAAGTGCTAAAATTCTAAGGAGAAAAAAAGAGGAGCAAGTCTTTTCTCTGTGTGTGTGGTGCTAACGATTGTACTCAGGGCACTTGAACTCTGCTATATAACTAGACCTTTTAAAATTATTTTGAAGCAGGGCCTCACTAAGTCACCTGGGGTAGGCTTCAACTTGATCTTCCGTTTTAGCCTCCTAGAGTACTGGGATTACAGGCATGTACCACCACATTCAGCCGAGGAGAGTATTTATAGGAAAAAACTGTGCTGTGTATGGTGGTGAGTCTAGGAGAGGGACAAAGACATTGGATTCAGGTCAGAAAACATGAAGTTGATTCTCAGTCTGATCCTTATTTTCTGTAAACCCTCAGAATAATCATAGTTTCATTAGCATCAGACTTTGCATGCACAAAATGGGAATAGTAATTCCATGTATTTTAAAAATCAGTAAAGTAAGAAATACACATGAAATAATCCAGTAAAATCAGCCAACTGGAAGCAACGTAAACATCTATTCATGGATAAACAAAATGTAGTTTTACATACAACAGAGTATTACTTTTCCTTAAAAAGGAAAAAAATCTTGTAATATGTTATAATACAGATGAATCTTGAAGATATTATGCTAAATAAAGTAAGGTAGGCACAAAAAGATAAATATAGTATAATTTACTCAAGGTATCTAAAATAGTATTCATAAAGAAATATAAAGGTTTCCAGGGACCAGGTAGGAAGAAAGCCCAGGGAGGAGCTGTTCAGTAGGTAGAGTTTCAGTTCTCAAAATTGAGAAGGATCTGGAGATTTTTTTCACAGTCTGAATATACTTAATGCTTGTAACTACATATATGTTAATGCTATATGTATATGTTAATGCTTTAAAATGGGCAAGATTCTCTTTTATATATATTTTATAAATTAATGCAATATACAAAGTATGATCAACAGATTTGTACAGGCTCCGTGTGGCTTCATTTCACACATTAAGAATGAAAGGAAGATCACAAACGAGAAATTGGTTGTCCACAATTGAAGAGCAATTGCTTATTAGTATATGAAATTATGACACAGTTTGAGTTTTTGATTCTCTAAGAGTTAAACAATTATGATTTGGAATGCATTTTAATTACTTCCACCTAAGGCCTATAAAATTGTTTTATTACAAACATGAGGAGTGGAGGGAAAGTCTAAGCCTTAATTGAAGACAGTATCAGAAATAATAAATCTGCTTTACAATAGCCCCCTGGCAATTTTCTTTTCTTAAATTCAATTCTGCATGGAAGCTTCAGTTTTATGAGGCTCAAGATGACATTGACCAAGCTAAGTTATTAGTTTGTCAATTCAAGGTAGGCAGAGATTTTTGCTGGTTCCAGGCAGAGAAGACACAAAAGGAGCAAACAGAGACTGGGCTCTCGGGAGTTTATAGCTCTATTGAGAGCAGGAGCTAACAGGCACCTGCACGCACAGGCACACATGGGTACAATTTCCTGCACACAGACATGTACATGCACACACATCACACCTAGAAAACCACACAGCACAATGAATGACTGTGCTAGTGGTAAGGCTGAGTGTACAAATGGGCAGTGGTGGAAAGGCCATTTTCCACAAAACTTTTTCATTATAAACAAAATGTTTTTGTTCCAAATTGTTTGCTTCTAAGTGGGAAACTTCTTAAATCTCTTGATGCACAAAACATTGACAAAGACATTTCAGGTCCTGTGGATAACTCATGATTTTTTAAAAACCATCATCATTTTTTGATTACTTTCCAAACTCAGTACTTGTAAAAAAAGAAACAAAATAAATTTACCTTATAGTTAAAGTATAGCCATCCATTGGGACATGTTCCATGTTGTTTTGGTGTATTATTTTCTTTCTCAATGACCCAAATCTTTTTTCGTTTGCAAATACCAGGCATAAAAACTGAACACTCCTCACTACCCCAGAGTCCTGGAGGAGAAATAGGTGAGAGATGGCTTAGAAACAATAGTGATGTTGTGGCCATTCTCAGTTGATTACTATTTTTATGACTGCTAGAGTTTTCATGATTTATTTTTTGATCCAAACTTAGATACTAATTATAGAGTTCCCTAGTGGCAAAAGCTAACTGGGCAAGATGCCAAGTCAATGATTCTATTTTAAGAATGAAAGTTTTGAAATGCTAAATAAATAAACATACACAAGTGCTGTCATGGAAATCACAGACCTGATTAAATCTTAAGAATATTTCACTTGGGTAACAAAATAATATTTATTGAGCAACTTTTTTGTCTTAATCATTCACACTCTATAATTCTTTAAAAAATGCAGGGGAACATCCCTAATCTAAAAATATTAAGTAAAAAAAAAAAAAAAAAAAAAAAAAAAAAAAAAAAAACCTTTGAGCTCTAAAATTATGCTTAAAAAGTTTCAAATTTCAGATTTTGGGATTTCAATAAAGCCTACATGAATATTCTCAGATAAAAAAAAAAAAAAAACACAAATCCCTAAATCTTAAACACTTCTGGCCCCAAGCACTTAGGTAAGAAATAAACTGTATAATAATTTTAAAAATTAACACTGGAACTTCTAAGAAAGTAGTATTTCCCAATACTGACCCTCAAATAAAGTAGATTCACATAAAAACTTGTCCTTAACATTCACAAGTCTTTGGCCTCCTGCAAACTAGTTTTTCTTTTTTAATTCAGAAGAGCTCTATTTTCACAGTAAGGGTTGAGCATATTTTTTTAGCATTCAGATCATCAGTCTCAGAACAGGACAGAGTAAATGCAAATTGCAAGGGCAGATTCAGTTTCTTAGTATTAAAAACATGAGCCAAAAAGATGTTGGATTTGAAGGAGGGGCTGGAATACTATTTCAATGCAGATTAGCTGCTATTTTCCCAGACTCACAAAGCAGCACTTTCTGTAGGCTGTTGTGACACCTGCTGGCAAAAGAAAGCTGATTAACCTTGCGATTTCTTTTCCTAACTCTGCTGAGGCCCTCCCACCAAGGATCGCTTTTTGTGCTTGTTCTTTTCCTGAGCCGGGGCACAGATTAATTATGAATCTATTTGAGGAGGGGATATCGTTATCTTTTATTGACTAGAGAGTGTGGGTGGGTATGAGTGAACAATCAACTCAAACAAAACACTATCCTGATGAAAATTAAAACATCTTCAACATAAATGTGTTTTCAAATCCAATTTGCAAACAGTTGTTCTTCCAAAACAAGCAGCAATTAATGCCAGGTATTAAAAAAAATACTAAATTGAATGAAGCTTTTCACAGAGGTTCAATGTTTGGCTAGTTATAAACTACATATTAGAAAGAGATAAAAAAGCAAAAAAGGTTACACATTGAAATTTTTTAGAGAATATAATTTGTCAGATAAATTTGTTGGCAGTTTCAATGGACTCTTGGCAGTTTCAACTGGTGCTCTTTTGGTTCATAAAGAAGGATTTATCTAGTTGTGGATTATTTTTTAAAAAATAAACACATCAAGTAAACAGAAGGAATGACCATCCATAAGCCTTAAAACTGATAAAATAGAACACGGTCAACTGAAAATAAAAACAACTAGGCTTCTCATTGAATTGATGCAATAAAAAGGTTCAAAGCTATTTTGAAGAAAACGACATTATGGCAGCTATTGCTGATTTAATATCATCTCGATTTGAAGTCCTATCATGCTTTTGTTCTTGTTTCCATTGGTTCTATCATGTTGTGTCTTACTGGATTTTAATATGTGTGATTATCGAATTTTCTATGGAAAATGAGATAATATAGTAGCCATTGTTTATTTTCTGTTATTTGGTTCTGAATGCCCTATGATACTTTCATTCTCTTGAATGGTTTTATACTATTTTGTTATGTTTGTGAAGGTATGCTCAACTATTTCAAAGAAAGAGACATTATGGTAGCTACTGTTAATATCCGGTTGTCTTGTGGTGAAGTGCTGTGTTGCCTACATTGTTCTGATCTGCTTTGTTCTGTCCTCTTTTGTCTTAATCCCTTTAAAATAAAAATAAAACATAAAAAAATGTTCAAGCCTCCAGAAAACTTTGTATATTAAATCAAAACATGATTAAATAAAATAACCTGTTTTGGAAGAAATGAAGCCACATGTCTGGCTTTGATTATTCATAGATATTTCTCTTCTGTTGTCCCAGTTTTGGTATATTAGTGGTGACCCATCAGTCCAACTGTAGAAAAATTAAAAATGTTAAGGTCATGTCATTTTGCATGTTCTGTTTTCAACACTATTCTTGAACTTCTGGGGTATGGGATGAAGGATTAATATTTTACTGAATTTAGAAAGATTATCAGTATAGTACAACAAATGCAGTTAACAATACTGTATTGATGTGGACTTAAACATTTTCTAAGAAGGTACTTTTTTCTAATGTGTTCTTATCCAAAAATAACCAAATAAATGCAACAAGAGGAAGCCTTTGGAGGTGATGAATGTGTTTATGACATGGATTGGGGTGATGGCTTCATGTGTGTGTACTTTAAAAACATATCTTTGGCTGGAGAAATGAAAAATTTTTAAAAATAATGTATGATGGATATTCAGCAAACTTATCAAGATCTAGTCCAATCATTCTGCACATAAAACTCATCAAACAAAATTAAATGCAAATTAATCTAGATTCATACTGAAATTCATTGTTGGCTTTTTCTTCTTGAAGTCCAATCCACCAATTTACACCATACTTTGATAGCTATTAAAAAAAGAAAGAAAAAGTGTCAGGGTTTATTCTTTTTGTTTTCTTTTTTCACTATTAAGATTAATAAAATTGCTGCTAATGGCTTTCTACTCTTCAGTATTTTACCCCATTATCTAAGGACGAATAAGGCCTAGATCTTAAGAAAGTCTGAAACTTCATTATCCTAAAATATTCCCTCCTCATTATGAAGGAAAACTTGAATCAAACTTTGAAAATAACTTTAGTTTCATACAATTTGAAAAGTAAATTTTCTAACTTGGTAAGAGGTGACAAAGTAAAATAGAAGATGGATTATTATTCTTGTCTAAAACATCAATGTGTTATTCTCTTAGTGATTTATGGAATCCCGTTACAGGTATCATATCTATTTGAAAAACAACTCAAGCTACAAAGCCATCAATAAAAAATTTGAATTTTAGGTATTAGTCTGATTGTTAAGCTTTAAAGAGTATTAGCAATCAAACAGAGAGACACCCAATATAGGCTAGAAGGATGTTGCTGAATTCCAGGTTCAGCAACTAGGAAATTATCCTTTGTGTATTTTAACACCAATTATTAATCACTCTGGCCTGAGCCCAATAAGATTTAAAATTGAACATGTATATGCATGTGCACACACCCATTCGAACAGTTATAATACTGGACTTATGACTCAGGAAATGGAAATTCCCTGTTTAACTATAAAAGGGGAAGAGATGTCCTAAGTCAGCAAATTATGTGCTGTGTGTACTATGTATCTATGTGTGTGTTTATGTGTGTGTGTGTGTGTGCACATATGAAATAGTTTAGTTTTTATAATGCTGAAAATGTGTTAATTTGAAGACATATAATTAGGGTTGCAATCTAATTTCTTTATTAAAGATGGGATTACATTTTAAGATATATATTTTTTTTCATATGAATTTCATGTCATCACACAAAGGAATCTAATAACTTGCTAACATTCTAATTTATAAACAGGTATTTCTACTCTGTCTGCCATATCAGCAATTTGAGAATAATGCAAGATAGAACAACTGTAATTTTGGATCCCTGAGGTGTTGTTTCATGGACATGTTCTCTCGTGCTGAATTTAGATTTCCACTGTCAGACTTCAGAATGGGTCCACTGAGACTGACTGTGAACGCAGTGGGAGAACCACAACAAATTCATTGCATCTAAAAAGGTCTCATGTGCCACAACAGTGGAAATCATAGCTGGATTGTTCACTGTCCCAATTAAGGACCTTTAAAGAGAAATTATAGCTACTGCATCTTAAGTGATGTATTTATTACCACCCCAATTGTGGTCTGATAATCTCCCAAGCCGCATATCACAACTTGTTATGCTATTTCACAGGGTAAGTTAGAAGATATCCAGTGTGAAAATTCTAAAGTGAAAGATGGATGTTTTAAATTTTAGCTGAGGTATAAGGTTACAACAGTGGAAACCTTATTGATATGTATCAGTAAAAAATGTGATGCATTTTATAACATCAGTTATGTCTTATTATAGATACACAGTCATTGCAGGCAGTGCCATATAGGAAGAACATTTACCAAAAAGATGTAAAACCCAACAAGAGTAAATAGATTAATCTACTTAGTTACTTAAGGAAGAATAACCTTCCAAGTGTGGTGGTACACACCTGTAGTACCAGCACTTGGGAGGCTGAGGCAGGAGGATCACTGAGTTTGAGGTCAGCCTAGGTTACACAGTGAGTTCAAGGCTAGTCTGGACTACAGAGTGAGATCTTGCCTTAAAAAACAAAGTGAAACAAAACAAAGCAAAGCAAACAAAGAAAAAACCTGTCCTCTTTAAAAATGTTTTCATAAAAAATGATAAAATTGAGCAATTTTAGTGCTTAAAACTAGATTTTTGAGGAAGACTAATGGATTTGATCTATTCCTTTAGCTGTATTTACAAATAAAATGTAAAAGATAATGATGTAAAAAAAGATATGATAAATTGTCACTCATATTTTGAAATGATAAATTTACACAACACAATATAAAAATGTTAGGCAAATAGTCTGATTGGCTAGGTGTTCATATAAAAGAATAGTTACACACTTACATTGATTTTCATTTTCTGGCATTAATCTGATTATCGAAATGGCTAAAAAAAAAATCCCCCCCAAAACCAGAAAACCAACCTCAAATCCACTTTGATCATGTCCTGTGGTCTATTATTCAGAATGAGAGAGAAAGACTGACTTATTCTTTATCTAAGAATGGAAGTATTTTGTTAATTTTTTTGCTTCAGATTTTTAAGACTATACCATTTTGTGATTCATAACTAGTGCTTCTGTGCTCCTACCTAAATGTTATTTTTGTTCTCCACAATTTCTACTTCATATGATAGCTATGTCAAACACATGTGTAATTTTAAAAGTATTTAATAACTATTTTTTCTGATTCTGCCTACATTTATAGTCTGGGTGTTCCACAAAAGTGAATGTTTTGGCTCTTATAAAAAGCTCTTACCTGAGAGGGCAAACTTCTCCTCCTGCCTCACAAGGACACAGAGAAAAGACAGCATCCATGAGCTAGGAAACAAGTCCTCAGACACAGAACCTGCTAGCGCCTGGCTTGTGGACACGCAGCCTTCAAACAGTGAAGAATACATTTTTGGTGTCTAGGAGCCCCACCTTAGTCTTGTTCTGTTCTACCAGTTCACATTCCCCTTACCAGTCTCTGCATTTTAAATGCTCTAATAATTTTTGTGGTATAGTTGAGGTATATGTTGAAGCAGCAATTCCTTTACAATAGAACATTAAATATATTAACAGTCATAGGTGGGGTAACTTTTTTTCATATAAAACACTATAAGGCTTGTCTAATATGAGATCAGTCTTCAACTAGATTAACAGCACTGGCTATGACTTCTAAAACTGTTAAACCCACGAGGCTTATGACTCCTTGAATGGAAGGTATCAACTCCACCATCCCCCCTGCCTTCCTTCTTCCCAAACACTAGGAAATGAATTCAAAGAGGCATAAGACCAGGTTTGTGGCACACACTTGTAATCTTAGCACTCTGGGAGCCAAGGAAGGAGGATCTCAAATTCATATCCAGCTTGAGTAATTTAACAACTTAGTGAGATTCTATCTTAAATCCTCTCAAAATGAGAACAAAACAAACCAATTAGAAAAGGACTAGGAACACAGCTCAGTGTGCACAAAGGCGCACAAAGGTTTTGGGTTCATTCCCAGTACTGGGGAAAAAAGCAAACTCAAACCAAAACCAGACCAAACCAAACCAAACCAAACTCCTAGACTGGTGGAGAGACAAGACCTAGGAAGGTTCCCTGGATGGTTTAAACTCTGCTGGAAAGGTCCTTGTTCCTGTCTGAGATGGAGCTGACAACCACAGAGAGGTTAGACGTAGCATTTTGGCATAATGTGGACTCTGTTCCTTTGTGGCTCGGACTCTGCTGCTCCTCAGTCACGGACAGCACAGCGGAGAGCCTTCAAATGACTTTATGAGTCATGTGGCCCGGGTTCCTGGCCAAATCTAGCCACTTAGTTGCTGTGTGACCAAGTTATTTTAACTTCTTCCTTCTCTGCAAGATGTACTAATAATAGATTTTCCACAGAGAGCTCAAAATAAAGTCTTCTTATCGGCCCATTTTTTGCTATTAAAGGTGAAGAAAAGTAAAATGACTGGGCAGTGGACTAAACAAATCTCTCATTTTCTCTTAATCTCTGTAACAGCAAGAAGAACAAGTCTCAAAAATCTATCGCACTTATGAAACCTGAATGTGTGAAGTTAAGTTTAAAAACAGTGCAGAAGGTGTTAAGCTGATTTTCTTATGGTGAATTGTATTCAAGTACCAATTTTATTTTGCTGTGAATGAATTCTTGCTCATGTGCAGAATGAATTGTGAGAAGATCACCACGCAGCCAGCCACAGACAAACTCAAAGGAAGCCCATTCTGAGTCATGGGTATAAAAAAGGTACTCTGCATCTTGATAAAAGAGCCAGGGCGCATCTGAAAGAAAAATAAATGATGCCAATGGTTGCAACACTAAGAAGAGAAAGAGGGGTTGAAGGGAGAAGAAGGAAATTGGAAAAAAGAAGAAGCAGCAAAGTATATTATGTCCAGGTACAAAGTGTCTATGATGAGTGTATGTAAACCTATAATGCATATCTATAATGTACCAGTCAAATTTTAAAAAGATATAATGCAGGCTGAAGTAAGGTAGGTTATGACTGAACTCAATTTTAGTCTGGTCACTTAACATTAAAAAGACATACAAGTACATACATATATGAATATGTACAGAGACATGTACACATTTAAATAAACATGTAATTTGTTTATTTTCCTTGTTCTATCTCATATAAGAAAACTTTACTATTATTCAAAGGTCAGACAGATATATATTGTGAAGCTATGTCAAGAAAAAGGAGTTAAACTATGATATTGGTCATCAATCATAATGAGGGCTCATTTTATAACTATATTTATTTTCAGTGTTAATTATTGATTTATTAACTTGAATAAGTTATCTCCAGATTGACACGAAACACTCAATTAGGAGAATGTGAGAATAAATAGCATATAGTAGCGCTTATATGGTATAGAACTAGGAATTTGATAATTACCGTATTGATACCAGGATGGAATGTTGGGTCTCACATCTGCAAAGTGAAAGCAAATGACCTTTACTGACCTTTATTCATAGGTGCACTGTCACAATTACTTCAACTCTAAGCATACTATTCTGTATTTCATCTTTAAGAAAAACATTTATTTAAAAGGAAAATACTCCGTGCTGTTTGGAAGCATACTTGAAGAGGATTCTCTAGAGAGGTTTCTGATAAAAGAAAGGACAGGAATACTTGCTGAGGACTTACTGTGTGTCACACACCATGTTTCCACTTATTCAATGAAGTCATTCTGTTCACTTCTAATGTCAGAGTGGTGTTACATTTTGACTATATTTTCACAATAAGTATTCTGCAATGTTAGCTAGTTACCTTTATTTCCAATGAATTAACTTTGCATACTGGGCTGGTACAATTTTCTTATTTCCCTATGATATATTGTTTAGTAAAAGGGTACAATGTTGTTCATCACGCATCTTGCTGGATTACAGTTCAGGGTGCTTAGATTTTGAATCTGGTAACTCTTCTTTTGGGAAAATGCTACCCATTTAGAAATCAAACATGTAATAATGATCTTATCAACATGTTTACCTCTTGGAATTTTGCATATCCATTCATGTTTGAAATCACAATGTGAGGGCAGCAATGTTTTCTTTGCCTTAAACACAGCACAATTTCTTGCCTCTTCTCCAAAATAATTATTGTCTAAAAATGAAGAGACAACCTGCAGCAGATGAAGTTCATTACTCCTTAATGATAATCCTCCATAACAAGTTTTAAAAGTTCAAAAAAGGCATCTACACATAAACTATTATAGATTTCTAGAGAAAGCTTCAGAAATATCTCCATGTCATTCCAGTTAAAGGTTGTTTCACATTTGTGAAGAACAAGCAAATTAGTATTTAGCATCCCCCCCCCACCTTAAACATGCCTTTTCTTTCTTTTTTGGTACCAGGGATTGAATTTACTACGACTTCATGCTTGTCAGGCAGTGCTTACACTACTCAGCTAAATCCTCAGCCAAGCATGCTTGTTCTAAAGAGGTAGACTATCGCAGAAGGAAGAAATGAGATGCATTTCATTATTGCAAACTTGTGAACTTGCTTTATTTCCTAACTAGCAAGATTAGTCTACCTCTGGGATCCTGGGTAATTTAGAGGCTCTGGTAGATACTAGATCTTTAATATTGATTTTTTTACATATATGCTGAGTTTTTAGTTTCTAATATCCAAATTCTAAGCCACAGTTAGCCTTGTAATCAATAACTAAACACTTTCTATGAATGATCACATAACTCCCATAGTAGGTGTTCTGAATTGTCAGTCTTTTCAATTGTGTAATAATTACCCAACAGAAAAGTGAGTAGATGGGCCACAAGTAAAATTGGGCTAAAAATTTGAGAAAAAAAAGAGGGTATTTTGAAACCATTTATACTCCTCCTCAAATGTGTACACAGTCATACAACAGTTCATCTAACATAAAAATTATATCTGTGGATTCAGAACATAGTGCAGATTTGAATTCATTTTATACAGGAGTGGTGAGGACCTCAGTTCATTGCCTCATAGGCTGATTCTCATTATTCTGAACCTAGTTATCTATTTCTCTACTATTACCAATTACTAAAACAAAACTAAGTACTACCACATTGGGTTTCTCGAGTGCTATATCGTCTTTAATGCCTCTTCCATTCTGAGCTTTGTTTTCATCACTAGCCCAGGGGCTAGGTGTGCATGAGGAGCTCTAAGATCTTTCTTGTTGTACTTCTGACACCCTTTTCAAACAAGCTATCTTGGATTGAAGATGTTATAATCATTTTTATCTAGCACATCCCTATCATTACCTTTGCTCACATTAGAATCATAGAAATTTATATGCTGGCCAGAAGTGTGAACCCCATCTATATAATGGGCTTCAATATATGCTACAGGCTCTACATTAAATTTGGGTACTAATATTTTGCCATCCAGGACATTGTGGCTTTGGTGTCTGACAACCTGTGTGTAAATCCTGGCTCTTCTCTATTATGTTAGGCAAACTACTTATTATTCTGCTGCCCACTGCCGTGAGCTGTAATGGCATCTTGCAGGAGAGCATGCAGTTCAGTTGCATGGAGCAATGTGAGGGCTCAGTAAACATTATATGCTCATTGAAGGCTCTTACTGGAGCCCTGTTTCACAGGGGAAACTTCATAACTTGATTTTGCACATGCCCACAGATGGCCCTCATTTCAATCTGGGATATTGCTTCAGTGTTTTACAGAAGTTTGCAAGTATGAGGTTGACAGAAAAGCAAGACTTATTTTTTCTTTCTGGAACAATTTGCTCTGGTAGAGGTGACCTTTCTAAGGCTGGCATTTCTGTCCCTTTAGAGTAAAAATAGCTCTCCAGAATGTTCTTCTTTTCTCAGTGACATGGGCAAGGGCCACATGCTCATATGATCAGGCAGCATGTAGGAAAGGGAAGGGAGGGTAAATGAAGTGCTGTTTTAGAGAATAGCTGCTTTTCTGTCAGATGCCTGTTCATGCTTGAGATGGCTGGAGGAATTTTTTGGAGATTTTTTTCTTTTCAGGATGTGGCAATAGTATCAGAACAATCTGGTTAGCAAAAGTTTTCCAGGACCTTGACAAAATAACTCAGTACAAAGGTCTAGTTTTGCCATGGGAGATACGGTCATTACTTCTAGGGTCTCTTGGTCAGTTTAGCAATGGTCCTAGGGCCACGTTTTCAATGCATCTCCTTTGGTCTAGTTTGGAAATACTTACCGGAGTTCCATCTGACCATTCCCAAGAACCCATACTCAGAGGATTTCTTTTATTAAATCCAATCCAGAACTGCCTTTCTTCTGTCCTAGGAAGAAAAGAAACATACACTTTGCCTTTCCTGTCAAATTCACAACATTATACCAGAAGTTCAAAAAAATCTTTGAATTTGTGTTTGCAGGAAACAGCTGATGCTACTGGCATGACTGATCAAATTAACAGAATTTTATTTGTCATTTTTATATGTAAAACTCTCTGCTATGAAATGAATGAAAGAAGATTTAGATTCACATTTTGTTTCTCTTGGTTTGTGTGGCTTGATCATCAGTGATGCACAGCTGGGGAAAATCAACTTATACTGAGAATACGAGTTTCACATCTGGAATGGCAACGCCTTTCAATCAGGACATGGACACATGAAAACAGGTTGATAATAAGTTTTGAGACAGTTTTTCCCAAGAGGATTTTTTACTACTTTAATGTTTAGTTACTACTTTGCTACACTATTCACATTACTTTACTGTGCTTTGATTGGTTGTTCTTTTTCAAATGTTCATGTAGTCTCTGAAAGTTAATCACCATCATTCCCATTTAATAAAGGTACACAGTAGGCTTGGGGTTTTTTCAGATCCCAATATAAATAATTCTGCTGCAAATAAGCCTGGACCATGGTAGATTAACTTCTGCAGTCACCATTGGTTTAGAGTTGGCAAGAAGCTCCACAGAGAATCATCTTCCCTCCGGCTAGGCCCAGGACAAATATGTCAAATCACAGAGTACTCAATAAATCAAGCAATAAAGTCTAATTGTACAATGAACCATCTCACTAAGACAATTTTCTGAGAATAATTTTGAAGAATTAAACATTTAAGAGATTCAGAAGACATGATAGATGCTTTATTTTGCTTAGTGCAGAGAAGCAAGCCTATTCTGAAGCACCACTTCTCAGATATTTGACCTAATCTGCCTAAGTGGTATGAATTAAAGTCAATATAACAGAAAGTTGGAGTCATCACTGGTGCCTGGTTTGTCACTGTTGTGATGAAACCTTACATACAAAGTTTTGAGAAGCTGGAAATGACCACCTTAAGGTTAAGTCAGGTACTTTAATCTCCACAGCACAAGCTGGACATCCACCTCATGCTTCCTGGGCTGAGAATTTTTTATTTCTTTCTCCCACTTTATTTGGAGTTCATTTTTCCTGCAATATACTAGCTCATAGAAGACAACTTTATGTTCTTTTTGGCAAATTTCCTAACATTGTATGATTTAAAAATAAACACACACAAAACATAACTGAATTCCCCAGGGAGTTTCGGCAAAAAATAAAACATGTATTATACAGCTGAAGATTAGATGCTGAAGATCAATAATTTGATAGATGCTTAGTACTACATATGTAAACAGAAATGACATAGTGATATTTGATCTTTTTAAAATTCTTTTTTTGTCTTTTTCTTTTTTTTATTGGTACCGGGGATCGAACTCACGACTGCCTGCTTGCAAGGCAGGCGCTTATGCCGCTGAGCTAAATCCCCAGCCCATGATATTTGATCTTAAAGAAACTGGGAGGTAGTTTGCATGTGGTTGTTTCAAGGGCAAACCTCACTAAAATGTAAGGGCAGATTATGCAAGGGGCTAAAGAAATAAAGCAAAGCATGACTTGGAACAATGGAGACTACCTCCATCCTTTGCACCTGTGGCTCTCTACCTGGTTAAAAATATAAAATTAAACAGGAAATTTCCTACACATTATCCTGAGAGAGTCTGATTTCAGCGGCTCTTCTGTGGGACCAGAGGGCTCTGTGTTAAAGGTGTCCCAAGCCAATGTGATCAGACATACTCTGGAATTGTAGCTTCAAGACAACATTTCTTGTATAGACTAGAAGTTCCAGGGATAGTCTCAAGAAAATGTAGGGGGCAATTTTTGAAGTCAAAGAGCTTCCTTCTAGAAGCCTTCACAATATTATAATACTATCCTACTCCATAACAAATTTTCAACATTATACATGTTGTGTAATCACATTTTTTTTTTTTTTGGCTTTTTCGTTTTTACCGGTACCAGGGATCGAACTCACGACTGCCTGCTTTCGAGGCAAGTGCTTATGCCACTGAGCTAAATCCCCAGCCCCAATCACATTTGACCCTGTACTCTTTTCCCCATGAAATACATCTTGGAACTCACATGTGGAGATATCATTAACACTTTCACTTTTAAGTCATTTTTTGTAAATGCTAAAGATGAATAACTTGATAGATGTTAGATAATAACTTTAATATGGGAGTGTTCCACAAAATATGTGTGGTGAAGACCAAGATTTTCCTCAAAATAAAAAAAAAAAAAAACAGGTCTGGATGTTCTTTGAGAGTTGGGCACGTGTTCTATTGGGACTGCAGATTTCTTGAGCTTGGTGCACCTTACCTGGTACTATTATAGGTGGCAAAGTTACATAGAAATTAATATACGGTCAGAGAAGGGCTGGGCTTTCAAGGAAGTCAGAAGAAGAACAGACATCAGAATTGTCACTGGAAGCATATTATTATATTGAAGCCAAGCTTACAGGTATGCCTCCCTAAAGAAGCAGTAACTTCGAATTATATTGTAATTAGCATCACCTGGTTCCGGAAGTCCAGATAGGCACCAGTGGCCCAGGTGGATGAGCAGATCATCCAAAGCTATCCTTTCCCAAAAATGCCTTTGCTCTTTCCATGTACCCTCGCTATGTGACCCACTTCCTTACTGGATCAATATTAGCTAAGCAGTTATACTTGTAATTGTATAGGTTGGTTGTAGTTTGGCCCATGTTGTCCCAACATAGGACTTTGCTACATAAATGACCCCTGACAAAGGGCTTCAGTAGCAACCCAGTTCCAGAACCTCTCATATTTTTCAGGAGCTATTCCTGATCCTCAGTAAACTTCTCCAACTCTTAACCTCTACGGTCCTTTGAAATTTATTCTTTGATTTCAGAGGACATGAACTCTGTGTATCTGACATGTAGCAGGTTGGGAGTTACATTTTCTTCTATAGCAACATTGTATTTACTTTCATTAAATAAATATATGGAGCCTTGGAAGTATGTTATCCTTAGACCACATTTTCCGGGTAGGATTTTGCCAGTTGGTTCTCCAACCAGCTCCACATGTACTATAAATGTAACTGTTCCAAAAAAGATTCTCCCAAAGTGCATACTGGCTGACAAGAACATCCAAAAGGCCAGGTGGTGGGAGGACCTATGAAAAGGAGAAGTAGTGGCTGCTTTTAAATACTTTAGAGTACAACACACTTGATCTGCACTGCTCTAGCTACAGACTGAGGGTGATAGGTTTCTGGCTTACTGGAAAATTGATTTTTGAAGTCAGTTTCCACAACAGAATGGGTTTTCTCCCAAGCAGGGACATTCTGAAACAGGAAGAAATTATGTAGATGTTGAGCGAATTCCACTGTGGTGGAATATGGCGAATCCCTGTTTGGGGCAGGAGTTAACTCAGAACCTTAGATTTCTCCCAACTTAACTTAATTGAGTTTCTAACTCTATGGAATTGGAGAGTTTACAAAAGTACAAAGAGACACCAATAAGTGAATGCTTGATTTTTCAAATGTAAAATTGGTTTGGCTCTTTTTTAATCACTAGAGTTTTCTTTAAACAAAATCTTAAATGAGCTCCCAGAAAACAGAAAATAATTAGCAGTGGCCCTGGTTGGAGCTGATCTGACGAGTCAGCAAGTAGGAACCCAAGCTCTCTAGCCATCTGCTCCCCTGCCTAGGACCTTTGGAATCATCAGATAGCACTTTAAAAACCACCAAGTGAAATAAACATTGGAAATTTTTTTGTACCAAGGATCAAACTCATGACCTTGCACTTGCCGAGCAGGTATTTATCACTAAGCAAAACCTCCAGCCTCCAAATATTGGAATTTAAAACAATGATTTGAGATACTCATCACAAAGATGCCATTACTAAGAGACAGAATATTTAACTATAAGTTGTCAAAATCAACAAGTATTTACCGATTAAATTTAGAATGTAAAAGTTCATTCACAAAATTTTCTTCCTCAATATGGGCAAAGCTTGCAAGATGAGCTCCAAATTCTTCACAAAATGCCTCAGCTTCTCTCCATGTTCTTTTTGTCAGGACTTTCTCACTATGAAATACCTGTACAATAAAAGAAAAAATAAGGCCATCATAGATGAGGTATGGATGTTCAAGTCTTCTTAAATAAATAGTAGTATGATTTTCATTCTGTGTGTGTGTGTGTATGTGTGTACGCATGTGCAGTGGGATTTGTTCCCAAGGCCTCTCACATACCAAGCACATGCTTTACCCCCTTACTACTTTATTGAAAGCTTGATCTAACAGAAGTAACATTTATTGAACTAGAGTGTGCCTAATCCTTGTAAAATTATTGGCTCATTTTACCTTCACAACAAATTCATGAAGCGAATGCAATACACAATTTATAAATGAGCTCCTCAAATATTTTCCCCCAGCAAAATCTACCACTGCCATATATTTTTCACTCAGTAACTGTCAAGAGATGGAGAAAATCAGACTAAAAGAGGTTAAAGCTTTCAGGTCACACAGCTACAAACTAGAGCTGGCACTAGACCCAAGATTCTTTGCTTCCAGAACCCCTGGATTTCCATCCCATCAGATTGCCTTCTGACAAATTAGAACCAGATGAATGATCACAAATGAGACTAACTCATGGCAAGTAATGAGAAATGGGGCCTGGGGATTAGGGCAGGTCTTTGGGTTTTAGCTGAAGTGGCAGGTGCTGTGTTCAGCTGTGCCTTAGTTATCTGCTGCTTCTCAGCAAAAAGGTTGAGTGGTGGGTTTATTTTTGGTTTTATTTAAAAGCAAGGTGAGGGACTGAAGACCCAGAGCAACTGATTCTCAATCTTTTCATTTTCATTGCCCAGCACTAAACCTGAACCTCAGAAGCCAGGTAGGTACACCCTATGGCGAGTGTTCACTGGGCTCTGTTTTGCTGAGACCAGAATAAATAGCTTTCCAGGTCCGGTGGAACACAGCATAGCCTTTCCATCTTTTAAATTATATGTCAAAACTTGCCTCCTCTGGGAACCTCTTCTTGAATCAGCCTGAAGTCATAAATCGTACTGCCATGTGCATCAAGCACACCATGCGTTTGTTGACACATCAGAATGATGTATAGTAGAAAAGGCACTGGGCCACGAGTCTCAAGACTAGGGATTTATTCCAACTCTGCTAATAAATAATTGTGCTCGTGGGCACATCATTGCATCTCACTGGCCTCAGTTTACTCATTTCAAAGGTTTAACTTACATTCTGCATGGTAACATCTGAGCCTATGAATGTAATGTAGGATTTTACATGGGCGCCTTTAAATGGAGAGCATGCACAGTTATTTTGTGCCATCTGTGAACTGCAATATCTTCATCTTGCTCTGCACATGTCCAATTACTAGAGAAGAACACTCTCCCAGGACTTAGGAAATCTCTATTTGTAGAATAAACCAAAACAAAACCACAAAACATAAAAACAGTATTAAAAAAAAGTATTCTTGATAAGAAGGTCACAGGAACTGATTTAAATCTAGGATCTAAAGTTGATTTGCAAATAGACATTGCTACAAGGATATTATCTATATGTATATGGACATATACATTTGAGATGAGTGGATTTGTATGTGTGTGTGCTGAGCATCTTTAATCCAAAAATCCAAAATATGAAATGCTCTAAAAATCCAAATACCTTTGCTTTCTGACAGTTCAATGTATAAAACTTTGTCTTATGAACAAAGTTACTAAAATATTGTATAAAATTATCTTCAGTCTATATGTATGAAACCCAAATGAGTTTTGTTTACAGTCTTAAATATCTCCAAGCTATCTCATCATATTTCAAAATCTGAAATCCAAAATACTTGTGGTTTCAAGTATTTCAAATAAGAGACACACACAGTCTTTCCCTCTTTTCATACACACATATATAAACACACATACACATTAACTGAAAGTATTAATTTGTTTGATCATGAGGTGTCAAGGTACAAAAGCTATCCTCAGTAGTAGAATTGTATTAGCCCATAATAAGTACTTTATTCATGGGTTTACAAACAATATTAATACCTAGTGAATGTTGGCCTCATTTATTTGGAATATGCCCAGCACTAAGAACAACCCTGTCTGGGGCTCAGTGTTATAGGACAGGTTTCTAAATGACCTTGGCTGATTTAGTCCTTTCCCCTCCTGATTGTCATAGCTGGACAAGATGTACCAAGGGTGCAACATCTTGAGGTAGGCAGGAACTGTCCTTAGCCTTCAGAAACAGGATGTCTTGCAGTGCTTTAGCCTAGTGACTCAGTGGTGTCTGAGGTATGAAATCCAGTGAGGAGTACCTTTGGAGCCCCGCACTGTGGTGCAGAGTGGGGCACGTGGAGAGTGCTCACCTGAGTGGTTTTCCCGAGTCTTGGAGAATCGGCCCTCCATAGATCCTATGCTTTTTGAAGCTCATCTGTGATTAATCAAGTTGCTTTCCCTGATTTTTCTTAATATTCTTTCTCACTGGATCAGACTCTGGAAGCTGATTTTAGGCCAGGAATTCAGAGCTCTCCCCGACTGATAAGCAGGGCATGAGTGCATGGCTCTCTTCCCGGAATTAATAGTGACACAGAGTATTTCTGCTAATGGACACCAGTATTCATGAAGAGAACTTCAGTGTCACCAAGGATAGGTTGGATTTCCTTACAATTATTTGAATATTGTATAAAATGGAAGGACAGAGAAAGGGAGCAAAAGTAATTAAGCACCTGCTGTGTGCCAGGCACTGTTCTGGAAAAAAAGGGGCTGGAATAAAGGAAGTTTTGAGACACATGGTCAGACTGAAGTAACGTCGGCACTGTAGAGAATGCCTCAGTAACCTCAGTATCACCTTGAAACAACTGGCCAGGCCAGGCTTTGACTCCCACTCCAAATGGCAGGGGTGAAAGGGCCATCTTTCTTCATGTTCTGTCTTCTTCCGCTTTTCAACTGGTTGCTTGCACAAGGACATCGCCTTAAAGTGTGCACAGTCCTTCACTTCCCAGCGACCCACTGGACTGCTTCCTCGCACGGCGACACAACCACCGCTGTAGCCTAAACACAGAAAATGAGCATATTTAATGCCAGATGACTAAAACATTTGTCACTCCAAAGACAGCTCTGTTCAGAGTGCTGAATAACTGACATCTCATAATGAAGCAGCCAGACAAGAACAATAAAGATTAGAAAGGATGTTTTATTGGCACAATTATCTCACTTCTCTTTATCTCTGGAGAAAAGAATAGAAGACGGAAACAAGAGAAAAGAGGCTGCGAAGCTTGAAATTTGGACATTGTCTACGTTTTAGGCCAGATGATGACACACGGGAAACTAGGAGCAGTTCCTAGGTGAAAACTGAAATATCCTCCTAGCTTAGCGCTGTGCTTTGAAATCTCATTGTGAAAAACCAACAATAAACAGTGCATAGTGCTCCTCCTCTGAGAACCAGATTCAACAGGGAAAAATACTTCCACAAGTAATGGATTCAGAGATACCAGGTACGCAACACAGAACCAATCTGTGAGCCATAAACCGTGGGAGAATGCGATAAATTCTTGAGATGGGAAAAAACCTCTCGGGACAGGAACAAGGGCAGTCAGCAGGGAAGGGAATGGTTTCTGACTTAGAAAGTGAAATACACAGCTCCCCTCCCCGCCTCTCAGTGTGAAATATTGGGAAAAGTAATAGGCTGTGTAGTTATAGACAAAATTTCACCTTTTTTTGTACTTGATGAACACTGTGGAAAAAGAAATATATTTTCCCACAGAATTAGTTGAGAGTTAAGATTCTTAATTTTCTAAAAAAAAATTATACAACTTATAAGACAGTTAAAAATAACCCTTCAAATTTCAGTGAAAAATAGTGGGAAATAGACCTACTGTAAAAATAGAAAAAATTTTAAATAAAAATGAGATTGGTTTTCTTGAACCTAAGGTGACCAGTCAATAAATTTGAATTGACATTTGACAACCACAGAAAATTATTCATCTAAAACATGCCTGGGTACGCTGTTTATTAGCTGTTACAGAGAAAGGACAAAATAAAACAACACTTAGTTTAGTGAAACACAGCTGCATAAATAATCCATTGCAATAAATATAATTGTGAAATGCTTTATTAAAGATGTGTTCAAAGTTCAGAAGAGGCGATGGTGTTTGCTTGGAGGGATCAGTAAGGGATTTGGGGGAAGTGATATTTGATTTGAGTTTTGAATGAAAACAGGATAAAGTTTTCAGAGTTGGTTTTAAAAAAAAAAACAAATTAAATCAGAGGAAGCTATTGAAGTCTTGTGACATTTCTGCACCTAGAGATACTTTTAAAAATGTAGTTACTTAGTATTAAATATTTACTTTGCATAATTTCCATTAAAATAATAGTTTCAACTTTTTAAAATATATCAGTTAAGTGGACCTTATCTTTTTCAACCATATTTTGATTATATTACGCTCACCGAAAGAATTAAAGAGAGGGAAAATGCATAGTACTAGTGAGAAGACAGAAAACAGAAAACTTGCAAAGAACCTCTCTGGAGAAATGGAACAGAGAATGATGTGAAAAAAGAAAAATCAAAGAGCTAAAGAACTCATGTTTATGACTTCAGTAATCTTGGGTGCACAATTAATGTTAGGCACTGAACATCATGGTGAGAAGACAGTCCCTATTCACAAGAAATTAACAGTCCTGCATGCACATGTGTTAATGCATCAAAAAGACAAACACAGGTGAAACTGAACAGCTGCAAAAGAAGAGGCGTCCTAAGCATGGCTCAGAGAGAGCAAAGAGGAGAGGGAGAGAGAGAGACAGAGACAGAGACAGAGACAGAGACAGAGACAGACACAGACAGAGAGACAGAGACAGACAGAAAGAGACAGAAAGAGAGAGACAGAGAAAGAGACAAAAATGGAGAGAGAGTGCTGGTACATACAGGGTTATTAGATATCTCCATTGGCCCAGAATACCTAGTTAGACACTCTTGCTTGATTCCTTTGTTTTTCCTATGAAGCATCCCCTAAAAAGTCCATTTATGGCACAGCCTCCTAGAAAGGACGAATTTAGGCTCCAAATTAAGTCCCAGAACAAATACTTAGTAATGTGAAACTTGAACAGGTTAATCACCATAAGACTTGTTTAAAATACGGATAATATTTTCTTGTCATGAGTTTTCATGAAAAATCAAATGAAATAATGTATCCAAAAGCACCCCATAAGACAGGAAGAAAAAAGTCACCGCTAAGATCTTGCTTTTCTCTTTAGGGCTGTTTTCTTTACAAAGCCTGGGATTTTGTGCCCACAGTCCTGCCTGCATGCTGAAAGAATCTTTTAAAAAGATCGAATCAGCAAGTTTAAAATGTAATACAATTTTTGTTGGTCTTGCATTTTGTCTTACTTCCCCATATCAGACGATGATTTAATAGCTTTGGTTTTAGATGCTATAGATATTCAACTCATCTTCATTAGTGTGGAAGGAGATGTTTGTGTACCACCCGAAGACGAAAAGTGCTCCGAGTGTTACTGGTATTCTAAAATGGTTAACTTAATGGAAAATTTGACCCAAATTTTAGAGTCTCAGCCCCAAAGAAGTAGTAAAGTGGTATAATAAAGGGAGGCAGGGCTAAGGGAGATATAAACCAAATTTATAAGCCAATTCGTGGGGATGCTTGCAAAGCCAAATATAAGGGTAAGGATATAGGGAAGAGCGGAGGCAGCTCTTCTCCCAGAAAATGCGTTGTTGTATTTGGTAACTCGCTGCCCACTGGAGAAGAAACTATCATCCTTTTTCTCAGTAGTGACCGTCACATTTCAATCAAGCCTCCTTATCTTCCCCCCCACCTATTCTCCTTTATTCTCCTTCAAACATGAATGAGAAAACTTTATGAAATTAACAAATTCTAATTCACTCCTCTAGTCTTTTCCATTTGACAAAATTATCTACTTGTAGAAAATGAACTGAGCTGGGAAAATAGCTACTAAGTCAAACACGTAAGTATAAACCAATCAACCAAACTGATTTGTAGCCTTGGGGGAGGAGGGAACTGTGTTGAGCCTCAATGCCTTTAGACCCAGAATGACAAACCTTTTAGAGATTTCAATGATAGAGAGCCGGCTATGGCACGTGTGCCACAGGTTTGCCAGCACCGCTCTAGACACTTAATTGGCTTGAATCTCTTCAGTTCTTTTCCCATTTCCTGCAACAGCTCTGATTCTCATCACTCAAGTCCTCTATTCTCTCGACCTGCCTTCTCCCTCTTCCTTCTCTCTTTCTCCAGGGAGAAGTGAGGCTCTTCTGGCAGGGGCAGGGAAGTTTCATAGAGTACTGTGCATCTACCAGACACGAGGCATTTTATATAACCTTCCTCAGACCTATCTTCAAAAAATTGTTGAGAGTGTTATAGGTACCTACATTGTGAAGATGGAAACATTGAAGCACAGAGGTTTAGTAACTTGTCAAAGTTCACATAGTTAGTGAGGAATTGATCCAGGATTTTAAACCAGATTTTTTTGAGTTTACTGTGAGACAATACCAAAGTACAGACTATGTGGGCTTTCAATAAAGGGTAGTTGAAGAAATGAATGAATGAATGAGTGAATTCTTTTAAAATTATGCTCCTTTCTCCACGGAGCGCTCTCTCATTCTCCTGGAAGAGTTTCTTTCCCTCATGTGGCCATGGGGTTTGCTTGAAGATCCTCTGTCATATTTTTACCTCGTACGTTGGTTGATTATATGATTATGAAAAGATATGAAAATGTTCAGAGAATGCTTAGAAAGAAACACAGCTGAGTTTGTCCTCGTTACATGGTTCATTTCAGAACTCTGATGAGCCTTATCAATTGTTCTGTCTAGACATGTGCTGACCTGACAGGGCTTTTGGTCTTTACTATGTGTAAGGCCCTTGCAAGAAAACAAGCCTGACTTGATCTACTGAGATCCAGTTTTCCTTGTTCTTGGAAAATTTCTACTGACTTGGAGCAACTGGGAAACTGTGTCCTTGAGATGACCTCTGAGTGAAACATGCCTGTGAATTCAACCTCTCCATCTAGGAATGGACCTTTGCTAGAGAGCTTATGGTGAGCATAAAATAATGATCTCAAGTAATTTCTTCCTCTATTTAGACTTGTATGAAGAGTTCGCACAACTCAGAAAAGCTTTTGTAATGTCTCAACAAATACGGACTCACCTATTTTCTTTTCCATAGATTAACCTGCACTTATACTGAGTCCTTTAATGTAAGTACAAATTTTCTACATACAGTATTCGCTTCTCCTTGGATGAGACACTAATTTATCATCTTCCCTTTTAATCAGTGACAATGGTCATTTTGTATCAAACTCATGTTTCCAGTTCTACCTAGATATTTTACTTCTCTCAAAAAATCAAGGACCATAGAGGTCTTTTGTTTCTCTCTCTCTCCCTCTCTCTCTCTCACTTGCTCTCTCTCTCTCTGTATGTGTGTGTGTTTTTGTTTCATAAAAGTAGCAGAATTTTTTGGTATCTTGAGAACAGAGAATTTTGGCTTGAAAGAAAGGAAATATGGATAAAAGACAGGTTAAGTAAAACTCTGGTCCTGAATTTGAATTTAAAGTACCAATTTGAACTTAAGTGTTTCATCATACACACATACGCCATGCACACAACCTTTTCTAAATCTATCTACTAAAATGACCAAGAAACAAAAACTCTCAACCAGAGAGCACCCATATGCCCAGACTCTGTATAGAAATAGTACCATTTCATCTCAAAAAGATAGATGACTCAAGATCTCAATTTATGTCTTGTCACACCAGATGGCAAAAATGCTACTAAAGGCTACTGGTGTCATATCATAAAGATGTAGGAAGTAGTTCTTACAGAGATTCCTTTCATAATGATGGGGCAATTTGAGTACTGAAAAGGATAACTGAATAAATTAAAATACATGGAATATGTTTAAGATGATTACTTCATAGTAATGCTAAGAAAAAAAAACCTGGTCTTCTAATTGATCACTGTTGAAGGCTACGGAAGGCTAATGAAGACACAATCATTTTGAAAACTGCAAAGAGAAAGTACTAAGCATGTATTGTAGCTTTCCATGAAAACCATATGCAAAGTAACAAGATATTGATCAGAGGGAGTTACTTCTTTATGGAAATATTCCGGCTGTAAGTGAAGAAACTCCTCTCAATGATGGGTTGGATATAAATCACTAGAAGAATGCTTATTTAGCATGTACAAGGTCCTGAATTCAATCCCTAGCTAGCACTGATAAAAAACAAAAACCTCAAAACCTTCTAAAAAATTTCTGGATCTTTGCATTTGTCATCCAGAATTGTTAATAATACAAAAAGAAAATTAAACATTATGTGCTTTAAAACTATCTAAGAGGACGGGGGGATTCAGCTCAGTGGCATAAGTGCCTGCCTTGCAAGTGCACAGTTGTGAGTTTGATCCCCAGTATCAAATCAATCAATCAATCAATCAATCAATCAGTCAAACTATCTAAGAAATAAGTCTATAAAACTTGATTTTAATCAGATTTCTGAGTCTAAATTTTTAAGAGTAAAAATGTTGATTCTATGGAAAATAAAAAGAATAGAGCATGATGGGGATGCAATTGATAATCATAAAACTTAAGAAACTTTGAAAGACAAACAATTCATTTAGGTCAACAAATACATTTTAAGAAAAAGAAAAGTTGGGGTTAGAAACCCTAAATTTCAAGATAAACTTTAGGAGATTTATTAATTGATTGCAATGAGTGAATTTTATTTTGATCTTGATTCAAACAAACTAAAATTCATATGTAATATTTATAATATGTAAGGGTCACTAGGAAATTTGTGTATTAACTAAAGATTTATAATGTTATGGATTTACAGTTAATTCCTTTCCGTTCTGATAATTATATTCTCATATTTTTAAAAAGGAAGTCCTTTTTGGAAATCATACTGAAATACTGTGGATGAAACCATATGATATCCAGGATCCACTATGAGAAGATATGGGGAGTGGAGGGGAACAGCTGAAACAAGATTGGCCGTGAATCGATCATCGCTGAGATGTGGGGATGGACACATACTAGCTCATTATACTATTTGATAAGCATAGTACAAAGTTGAAAAAGATGATAGACCTATGGTTCCTACAGAGGTTGCATAGTTTACTGGTGACTTAGGAGCAGAGTCATGGCTGAGTTTATAAAAAGCTGCAGGCTTCCTGTTCAGTGGTCAATTCATAAGGTCAGATTATGCTGGATTAAGATCCTGACATGGGGCAGAAACTAAAGGATTCTTTTGTGACAGGCAGGAAAGAAAATGCAATTTAGGGCGGTGTTTCTACAAGCTGAAATTTAAAAGAAAAAGGGAAACACAGGGGCTTTTATGTTGCTATTTTCTTCAAAAAAGATTTACATTTTCATCTTATGCAGAGACAATTTACTCAATGTCAATCAGCATGAGCAGCCAAACTGAGCATCATGGCATTATTTTTGCTTCAGGGAAAAGAGAAAAATAGTAGTGCCACTCAAATAAATTACAGCAGAAACTTATCAATGACAAGGAGCTCTGCTTCAATTCCAGATTTTAGACAACTGAATATGCCCTAAGGAAGTTAACATTAAAAACCAAAAATTTTTTCTACTCAAAATGCATTAATTTATTTTGACAGGTATAGACATCTGTAACAAAATTCCAAAGTAGAAACAGTACCTGAGCATTTATTTATTTATTTATTTATTTATGCGGTATAGTGTGACATAGAACTTTATGGTTTCCTTCAATTTAATACAATTCATAGATCTATAGAACAAGAAGATTGTTCTCTTAAGTGAACTGCGATATATCTCAATTAGAGCTATGAAAAAAACCATCATTTTCTAAACAAACTTCCTAAGTGATGTTTGGCACACAAAAAGATCTAATTTGTCTTAACTTCACTGTGCACGAATTTTTGTATTTTTATTGAGAAACTAAAATCCTTCTTGCAAATTTAAAACATGCAAAATAAAGTGGAAAATACAGAGTTACCATATTGCCACTTTTTCTGACCTTCTATGTGATCTCCTTTGTTTGTAGATGTCATATACTGCAAAGGCACATTCGTTACGTGTGATAACCTACAATGACATATCACAGCCACCCAGAATCCCTCTTATCTCTATCATTCATTTACTTTATACAGAAACCTGTATGTCAATAATATTATATTATTGATATATATTAATACTCATATATTCTTTATATATTTATTTAATATGTATGAATATATTTGAGTATATTGTGGCTATGATTATTTTGAATATCTTGTTATCTGTTGCATCAATTAAGAATAAGGAAAATACAGGTTTTTATTTTACCTTCACTTACTCATTCTCCAGGGTGCTTCTTTTCTTTATGCACATCTGTGTTTCTATATCATTTCCTTTCCCGCTGAAGAGCTTCATTTAATGTCTTGCAAGGCAGGTCTACTGGGAACAAATTCCCTCTATTTTATTTGCGTGATAAAGTCTTTAATTCACCTTCATTTTTAAAGGATAATTTAACAAAGTATGAATTCTAGGGTTTTTTTCTCTTAACACTGTAAATATTTCACACTATTCTTGTCTGGCTTACCTAGGTCCCTTTCCTCTTTCTATCTCTCTGTCCCTCTCTCCTTTCCTCTTTGGCTTCCTCCTTCCTGTTCTCTCTCTTTCTCTCTCTCTCTCCCCCAGCCCCTCTCTCTAATACTGGAATTGAACTAGGGCTCTAGTGCTGAGCTGATTACCAGCCCTTTTTATTCTTTACTTTGAGACAGGGTCTTGTTAAGTTGCCCAGGACTCAATCTTGTGGCCCTTCAGGATTACAGGTGTGAACTACCATACCTGGCACTGTTTATAAAGTTTCTGAGGAGAACTAATATGTGATTCTTACCTTTGTTCTTCTATAGGCAAGATGTTTTCCACCTATGGATTTCTTCAAGAATATTTGTTCATCATTTTCTGAAGTTTGAATATGATATACCTATGTCTAGCTTTAGGAGACATTTATTCTGCTTGGTGTACTCTGGCTTTCTGGATCTCTAGTTTGGGATTTAACATTGATTTAATATTTTTTTTCCTTAGTGGGGATCGAACTCACAACCTTATGTTTGCCAGCCAGGTACTCATGCCACTAAGCTAAATCTCTGGCCCAATTAATTCTTAGTTATTGCTTCAAGTAGTGTCTGCGTTTCTTTCTTTCTTTCTCCCTTATCCTAATATTCCCATTACAAGTATTTGTACATACTATATAGTTGTTCCACAGATTTTGGATATTCTTGTCTGTTTTGTTCAATCTTTATTTCCACTTCGTTTTTTGGTATGGGTATTTGTATTGTCATATCCTCAAGCACAGAGCTTCTTACACCAGCTACATTCAGGTTACTAAGCCCACTGAAGGCCTTCATCTGTTCTGTTATAGTGTTTCTAAATTTCTAGCATTTTTTCTTAGAATCTCAATCTCTGCTTACATTACCCATCCGTTCTTACATATTATCTATTTTTCCATTGCAGCCTTTAATGTATCATATTAATTATAATTTTTAAAAATTGTTTGTCTGATAGTTCCAATACTCCAGCCCTCTGATTGGATCTGATGCGCACCTGTCTCTTCAAATCTTGTTTCTTTTGTCTTTTTATATGCTCTGTAATAATTTTGCTGAAACATGGACATGATGTACTTGGAGCAGGGGACTGGAGGAACTACGCTTCTCGTAATGTGGTGGCAAGAGGTGGGCAGGGGGAGGTTTCCATCTGTGATCAGGTCTCAGTCTTCTAATGAACTTGTGCCTTTGGATGGTGACTTTCACTAGCAAGAGCTTCTCAGCTGTTTTATGTTCCAAGGAAGGGTCCTTGGAACAGAGTGACTAGCGAAAGCTGGAGCTGGTATTTCCCTTTTCCCAGAAAGGTTAGACTCTAAATAAACTCCAGCGGGTCAGTTTCTAGGGAAACTGTTTCTCATGATGTGAGCCTTTGTTATAAGAATGCTAGTGATGGATGGTGGTGTGCACTGTAATCCTAGGTCTTAGGAAGGTTGAGGCAGGAGGATCACAAGTTCAAGTCCATCCTGGACAACTTAGTGGGATCCTGTCTCAAAATACAAAAGAAAAGGCTGGGAACGTAGCTCATTGTGAAGGCTTCAGTTCCCAGGGGGGGGAAAAAAAAAAAAACAAAACAAACAAAATTCCATAAGGGGTTCTTTTTTGCTCCCTCTGCTGGAAACATGAGGGACTTTCTCTGATACTGTGATCATCTGGTAGAGCCCCAGAGAGAGAATTCACAAAAGTGTGCCCCTCATGACTTGGTCCTCTAAGAGTTTTAACTTTCAGAGTTGTCTACACCGAGCGTCCAGCAGGACTTTTAGTTCCAGCCCCAGTGTTCCCACCCCAGCACTGGATCCTGTGGGGCTTCTGCTTGTGATTTTCTGCTACAGTAACGTGTGATTCTTTGTATCCTCCAGGCCATGTCTGCAATTTTGGGGACAGTAATTTGCTGTGTGACCTCATTTCACTGATGGATCTAAGAAGAGTTGTTCATTCTTCAGTTTGTTCAGCTTTTTAATTGTTAGAATGACACACAAGACCCAGAATTGGAAGTGTTCAAAAGTACAAGTATTGAAATCACATAATCAACAGAGAGAATGTAAACAGACTTTCTTTATTTCTGTTTCTGTCTCTATGTCTCTTTCTTTCTCCTTTGAACTTCAGAATGTCTAAGGAATCTATTTAAACATGGCTCATAAATGTAAGGGGATAGGCAATATTCAACCCCCCCTTTAGGCCTTGTGATTTTTGAGACTACTCTCCTTGGTGGCTGACCTGGCTCAGAGCAGGTTAAGAGAGTATAAGTGAGGAATCCCAGAAGGCTAAATATGGTAGTGTGATTTTAAAAATACAGTGAACGTTATTGCCTGGTAATAGCAGAAGGGTAGAGATCGTCAATACAAGAAGCAGTGCATTGCCTTCAGAAACACAAATTTCAAATTGCTTCGTGCACTCAGTAGGCTGTGAGCTACAGGTGAGAGGTGTGTTTTAAAGTGTGCTAAACTTTAAATCATGGATTATGAGTAACATTAACATGAAATTTTATTTCAAGATGTAAAAAACGTGCTCATTGAAACTTGGGTCTGTGGTTGTGATTCTGAGATCAAGGTTCAGAGTTTTCAGTGGAAATTCCCCAGTTTTCCCTATTTAAAAAAAGCACGACAATCAAGATCCAGTATCAAGGTGATGCTGATCATGTTTCTGACTTTGATGGAAATATGTGGGCTGAGTCTGCACCCAGGAACACCACCGTGAACTCTGAGTATTATAAAGGCTAATTAAAATGTTTGAGAAATGATGTATGTAAAAAACTGTTTCATCCTCCATCAAAACAATGTTCTGTGTTATTTTTTTCTTTTGCACGAAAATTTCTGTCAAATAAAAACATTACAGTGAATCCTCATTCCCCTAATTCACTGGATCTGGCATCGTGCTACCATTTAGCTCTTTCCTAAAGTCAAAAAGATGATGAAAGATAAACATTTTGAATCTATTTAGGACATTGACAACAGTGCAACCAAAGACACTCATGAAAGACTTCTAGAACTGCTTCAGAACGTGACAAAAACAATGGAATAAATATGTTCAAAGTAAACACAGTATTTTAGGGGGGATTAACAACAATGTGTCTTGCTGTAATAATTTTTTTAAAGAATGAAACATCATTGTATTTTTTGATCATGTATCATATTCTATCTACTTTTAGGCAAAATCCTAAATTATTTCTCTGTAATAAGGCAGTATTTCTTATTTATAAATAGTATTTGATATTTATATTAAAATATTTAGTATTTATAAATATTAAATGAAATACTACAAGGCAGCAATAGCCTTGTAGTATTTCATTTAATTCCCATAACAATTCTGTGAGGTAGACACTGCTAGTCTTATTTTATGATGAAAAGATATGGGGAGATTAAGTAATTTCCCTCGAATCATATAGCTAGGATTTGAACTTGAGTCTGACTCTATGCTAAGTACCGTGGTGCAGTTCCTTACATGTATTACTATTACCCTATTCAACACTAAATGAAAATGAAAAATAATTTGATGCTAACACTTTCTTGGCCTAAAACTTTCAATAGCTTCCCATACCTAGAGAATAAATAAAAATTCTTTAGTTTGTAATCTTCACTTGAGGTTTCAATATACCTCTCTGGTCCTACCTTTTATACTCTTTTTCAATACCTTGTACCTCAGTTATGTGAAACTACTAAAATCCCCCAAAGATTTTCAACATTTCTTTGGCCCCATTTGTTCACTCATGCTTAGAAAGCTTTGTTTACTGGTGTAGCTACGAAATCCAACTATTTTTTAAATACCAGATAAAATACCACTCCTTCCTTGAACTTTTGTCACTCCAAGGAATTAATCCTTCCTCTTAACTCACAGAGTGCTTTATTTATCCTCCTCTTCTTTTCTCCTTCTTCTTTCTTCTTCTGCAGTCCTAGAGATTGAACCCAGGGCCACTGCAGTTAACTATATCCCTAGTCCTTGTTTGTTTTTCATTTTGAGGCAGGGTCTCACTAGGTCACTAGGTTGCCCACACCAGCTTAAAATTTGTAATCCTCTTGCCTCAGCCTCCCAGAGTGCTGGGATTACTTGTATACCCAGTTTTATTTGCAATTCTTATAACATGTTGCTAACACATGCTTTCCTGTTGCTAGGACTTAAGGTATATATCTCACTAAGATTTATATATTAAAACCTAACACCAAATATAATACTATTGGTAGCTGTTGAAACTGAAATTGAACACATTTGTAGGGCTGTGGCACGGCAGGGCATGGCCACCCCGAGAACAAAGAGATGCTTCAAAGAGCAAGGTAAGATCAGAGCTGAGGAGGATACCTGGCCCCAACTCCAATTAACTAAATAAAGACTGTAGCTGCAACATAGAGATCATTTCATAAAACAGGTCTGTTAAATTAAACATAATCTGTTACTTGGAAAAGTCCTTGAACCACTCCCCAAGGTCTGTTCAGTTTCCTATATTTTCCTCTCTAACCTCTTCCTTGTTTGAAAAATTAAATAAATATGGGCCACCCAGAGACATTCCTTGGTTCAGTCCCCCGGGTCTGGAATTCTGCAATGTTTTGATCCTTCTGGAGCCCTGAAATCATACCAGTTGTATCATTTATTTAAGCCTTCACTATATACTCATTTGGGAGATTGGGGAGCTAGGCCAGCTCCCTGATATAATACTTTAAATATTGAATAATAAATATCAGTGTGGAAAGTTCTCCAAGGTAGATTGTTAAGTTAAAAAAGCAAATAACAGAAATATACAATTCTACAACCACTCAATGAATTACATGTGCATGCATGTATGTATATGCACATACAAATAACAGAAGAATCACACAAAACATTAACAGTGGTTATTTGTGAGAAGGTTGTTGATGTTGGGGAGGTAAACAGAAGGGTGCAATAGAGGACTTCTACTCTTTTCTTAATATAATTCCCTTTATTTAAAGCATCTATATAATTTACATAAATCTACTTTAACCAGAAAAGCATATAGCACAAAGGGCGTTAGAACTTATGTTCTTCTGATAGAAAGGCACCAGAGACTCCTCTTTTCCTTCAGATCTAAAGTTAGAGGTTGTTATTGCCTTTTGTGTATTGCTGTGGCCCTGACAGAGATCCACAGTCACGAAAGAGGCCAAGGCATACAAGCAGGTACTCATCCTGGAGTAAGGACACATGCTCGGTCTTGATTGTCACACTTAAAGCTTGTTTCACGTCACAGGTAAGTTGTGGTGGAAACCATTAGCTCCTCTAGAACTGGAAACCTCACATAGTTTCATGCTTTTGCGACTTAAAGCTGAGCGTATGAGGATGAACTAATAATATTCCTGCTGACTTTGGAATCCTAGCTAAGGAATAACAGTATTCCATGCAAGAGAAAGACCAAGAAAGCCATCTTAGTGATGGGCCAGCATTCCACAATGAGTCCACAAGGCCGCGGTTGTGAACTTTTCAGATGTGTCCATAGGTAGTGCACTTGAACAATTCTAGACTGAATAAGTCCCTGGAATTTTTGCTCAATGAAGGGGATCAGATTGGAGGTTGGGACAGGGCTTGAGGAAAGAGAAACTGGACTCCCTGGTGATGAAAGTAAGTGTAGGCTCCAGCAATGAATGTATTCCCTGATTGAATATGTCAAATGATGCATATGAACTTACATTTAAAAAAATGGCCAGTCATATGATATCCCTGGCAAACCTGTGATGATCATTCTAGCTGATGGAGGCATTAAGAGAACATTAAGCAAGAACCAAAGGAGGTGACTAAGAGGTAGAAGGAATCTTAGGTCAAGAAAACACAACTACAATGTGAGGGAGAGTTGGTGTTACTATCCCCTCTACTTACGGGGCTCATGAGCATTCCAGTATGTATACTGCACCAGTTCAGACTCCTGCCCTGCTGTCTTCCAAGTGTATTCTCCTGTATCATTTTGGTCTTGAAGAGCTATCCAGAAATAATGGTTCTTCATTTTCACCACATTGCTGATCAAACTGGTAATAAATGCCTGTTCAAATCTTGAAAAGAGAAAAAGGAAATCGTTACATTATGATTGGGGGCAGAAAAAAATACTATTAAAACATAAAGAAGTATACAGAATGGCACCAGAATTGCATTACTTGTTAATTCTTTAGAACATGGAGCAGAAAAATATACAAGGACCCTAAATACTACTAATACATGCCAAGTGCCAGTGTAACTCCCAGAAATGCATGGGTGAAGAGAATTTAACTCTTATACACTTAATGCTTGAAATTGTGTCAAGGAATAGACCCTAGCTCTGGTTTCAGAGTATAGGTGGTAATGTCCACATAGACAGCCATATATTTCTTTTAGTACAATGTGGTCTTTTTTATAATGAGGTCATATACCATACAGCAGGCTGTAATGTGCATGGGGTGGGGGTTGGAAGGAAGGAGGAAGAAGGATATTATGCTTTTCTGAATGAGCATCTGCCACCGTGGAGTTCACATATGCCCCTGCATCATACTTGCTTGGTAAGAAAGGAACTGGAGTCATACTTTTGTGTCTCTCAAAACAGTTTGTTCACAGGCACATGGAGTCCTTGGCTTATTCAAATATGTTCAAATATGCATTTTCACTGAAGATAAATTTAAGTCCTAGGATCTAATCCAGGGCATACATCCACTAGTATTTTTCCCAATCAGCTTCATGAATCAGCATGATGGGTGGCAATGCCCCCTTCCCAACATGAATGCATCATAATTCCCTTCCTTTTTTTTGAGATTCTGTATCATTTCTATCTTTTTTTTTATGTTTTGCTTTTCTTTTAAAAAATGGAATCTAAAAAACTCATATTTATTCTCCTACAGTCATACCTAATGAGAAAAATGTGGGTATTAAAATTTAACTGAACTTGAATTTAAAGCTAAGTTTGAAGCTATTATGAGAAATGTATTTTCAAAAAAGTTGAAAGTAAACTAGAGTTAGAAATAGTTTCAGTGGTGATTTCTGGCCAGATATGATGAGTCAATGGGAAAAGTAAGGCCTGATAAAAACCCCAAACACCTAAGGAAAAAGCAAATTAGACCTTTAAATTGCAATTTTGAATTAAAAAAAATTACCATGCAGTCTTAACCTGCAAAGAGTACCACAGGCAATGGGATCATTTAAAAATAGAAAAAACTTAAAGGAATTAACAGAGGAGAAAATAAAGAACAAAAAATAAAATTTCAAGTGGCTTAGAGACATCACTAGAACAGTCAGGGATCGCAGGCATCTGCGGCACTCATGTTTGCAGAGTGCAAAATGCCTGCAAAAATGGCCTGCTTTAACATTTTCTGCAAATTCTCTATTAGCAATCTAAATAGCACACATCTGAAATGAGACAAGTTTATTTTTAACTGCATGGCAGGAACAGAACCTTAGGTAAAAGTGCTTCAGGAGGAGGGTGCATGAAGCTAAATGCAGCCTAAATGCTCTTGTAATTTTTCTTACATTTCATTAGTTCATAGTCTCATGATATCACCTGCTTTTCAGATCCCCTTTGAGGCAGAGTAGCCTAATTATTGTCCCCATCTGGTACCTAAAAAATTCCTGTTAGAAGCCAGCAAGGCATTGCCCCATATGTGCTATGGCCAGACTTCTACTCACTATGGTGATGCTGAGCACAGGGAGGGTTTTTGGCTCTTTCATTACCTTTTATTATGAAATCTATCAGATGATGCTAAAAAATGACCTTGTCTATGAATATGGTTTTGTATATTATTATTCATGACAACATGTTGTTCTTGTCCCCTATTGGCTGTAGATTTATTTAGTCCACTGTGGTTTGCTATTGTATCTCTGTTTATCATTGCTTGAAACAACAGAAAACAACTTTCTGAGTTGGCAAGTATATTTTTAAGTAGTGCACAAAGATATTCATACATTAAATCCTAAAACTTTTAAATCAAAACAGGACGATAATTTTCTAGGTCTAAATTAGAAGATGGTGCTGTTTTAAAGCTATTCAACAAAAATGGCTTTTTCCTAAACCATACAATCTAAAATAATTAAGTCAGGATTCAGTGCACAATCTTTTGAGTATCTGTTCCTAGTTGGTAAAGACACAGAGGCTATCTTATATTATTTACTACTTGCTATCTGGTTTCAAAAACTGGAAGGGTCATGAAACCTCTGGCCTACAGCAGTATAGAAGATGACCTTCCAATTGTATTTTCTAGCCCTGTATTTTAAAGTTGTTCATAGGAGAACATTCCAGAGATTTATATTATCTTGAGTATTGTCTGATTTTGTCGGGGTAGTTTAATTCAAATGTCATTATGATTTAAGAATCCAAAATAACTACATGTACCTATTTTGTATGATTATAAGTACCAGGCTATTTATTTTCAATAAACTGAAAATTATTTACTTTTAAAAACAGACAAATTTTGCAATATTTTTGCATATGCACACCTACTTACAAAGTCAAATTCCACAGGATAATAATTTTTGGAATCAGAAAAAAATGAACTTTCCCAATTAAATCCTTAAACGAATTTAAGAAACCGAGTGTATTTTCACTGTGACTAGAAAAATACATTTTGAACTTTCATCAGTTTGCAAAAAAATTTGCTCATGATGGTGAACATTACATTTTAATTTAAAAATGCCATTTTAAGAAAGCAACAGATTTTAGCACGTGTTGCATTTGTTTTTTCATTTCAGAGTAAACGTTTTGTATTTCAAAAATACACACTTTAGAAAGAGAAGTTTTGGACCGGAGGATGCACCGACCGGAAGGTCCCTCTGGGCCTATCCCGGCCCTGCCCAGAGACTCCTGAGCTGCCCACGTTCTGCCTGGCAAGCCTAAAGTGTACACAGTGCTCTCCAGCCCACGTAAGCGTTGGCGGTTCACTGGGAGACTGATAAGACCCCACCCTGCCTCCCACATCACTGGAGGATGCATTGGGAGGTCCCTCTGGGCCTATCCAGGCTCAGCCTAGCAACTCCCCAGCTGACTGCAGCCGACTGCAGTTGCTTGCCTTCAGTCTGGCAAGCCAAAAATGCCTGCAGCACTCTCCAGCTCACAGGGAAGCTTGAGAGACTGGTAAGGCCGTGCCTTGCAACCCCAAGTGGCAGGAGCTATCTGGCAAGGTCTGTCTAAGGACTTCCACTCAACTGGGGAAGCTCCCCGCAGTAGGGATAGATATTCTCAACTCAAGAAACAACTGAGACCTTGCATTTGGCTTCACTAAGCGAATATAGGAAAATGACCAAGTAAAAGAGAAAAATGCAATCTCAAACCTCTAGCCCATCCCAAGCAAGCCTACATGGACATAGAAGAGATGGACATAGAAGAAAATGTAAGCCATACACCTGAAACTCCTGAAATGATAGCAATTGAAGTAAAGCAACAAGGCAATTATATTACATGTGATGAAATGAAGAGCTACTTTGAAGAAAAACAGGCATTATGGTATCCATACTGATTCTGTATCATCATACTGTGAAATCCAATAATATACTACTCATGGGAGTGCAAAATGGTGCAGCCACTTGGAAAACAGTATGTTAGTTCCTCCAAAGTTAAAAAATGGAATTATCAAAAAGATCCAGAAATTTCACTTCTGAGTATATATTCAAAGAACTAGAAACAGGGACATTAAGATTGAAGTAATGTTATTCATAACAGTCAAATGTTGAAAGCAAACCAAATGGCTATTGATGGACAAGTAGATAAGCAAAATCTGGTGTGCATGCGTTCAATGGGATCTTAATCAGCCTTTAAAAGGAAAGAAATTCTGACAGGTTGCAACATGGATAACCCTTGAGACATCATGTTAAGTGAAATAACAGAGGCGCAAAAAGACAAATATTGTCTGATTTTGTTTATACGAGGCCCCTAGAGTCGTCAAACTCACAGATAGAAAATAGAATGTGGTCATTAGGGCCCGTGGAGAGGGGAGAATTGGGAGTTTTATTTAATGAGTACAGGATTTCAATGTGGGAAGAAGAAAAGTTCTGGAAATGGATAATGGGGTGAATGCACAGCAATGTGATTGCAGGTAAAGCCACTGAACTGTGTACTTAAAACTAGTTGAAATGGTTAACTCTATGTTATGTTTTAGCACTGTTTTAAAACTGTGTTTCAGGGGATATGACAGTTTTAGGGATTTAGCAGAGCTATAAAAATACCTGAAAACAACACATACTTAAATCTATGAAAAATGACATACTGCAGGATTTCTCTTTTTGGACAAAAGCTACAAAATCAGTATCATTTTTATTATTTTGTACCAAACATTCAGTGGCTGGTTGACTCAAGATTTATCCATGCTAACTTTGAAAATCAGGATTTGCATTCCTACTTTGTCTGAAAACAAAGTGACCGGGTCTGAAAAGGTTTTACAACAACAGGCTAGCAAATATAAATCTGTTATTCACAAGAAGGGTCTGTTTTTCTTCCCCTTTCCAACCCAGGAAGTGTTAAAAAGTCCTAGACCAGGAGCAGTTGCCCAATAACAAAAGAAATAAGTAATTTGTAGCAGGTGGTTCTAATTGTGCCCAAAAAACCTGTCACTCTATTGTGCAGAAGAGTGGAAAATCAATTAGCAACTACAAGCCTGGGTGCTGGAGAGCGACAGGAGTGTCTTAGCTCAAACAGGAAATCAGAAATGGAAGAAATTATTACTGCGGCTGCTAGGGGATGCTCCCGAGTCTAAGAAGATGTTCCATTTACTGCCCACCCCTCTCAGACAAAAGATATGGCAGCAGAACGTGACAAGATGTATTGTTACTCAAACAGAGGTTTCTTTCTTGATGGAGTCTAAATGAATGAAAATAGAGAGATTGGGATACTTCTTTTCCTCCATTTGAGAAGCTGGCAGAGTCACAGCTTTCGGGAAGTCATATTTCTGGGATGTTGTAGCTGATGCTAACTGACTTGGAGAGATGCCATTTTACTGCTCCTGTGTAGTCAGGCCAGCTTGGTTATGACTGGGTAGCATGCCAGCAAAAGCCAAGCTGGACAGGCTAATCAGCTGAAATTGGGATTAAAACAAATTTCTCTATGCCACTATGTTGCTTCAGAGCTGGAACACACATTGTTGTGTTGGCCACAGAATGTAGTTAATGAAAGAAAAAATGTAGTGTTCTCAGTTTTGTATTCAGTTTTGGGGAAATGATTCTCCCTGATGGTTTCTCATCTGTATGAGGTCCCCAAGTGCTGGTAGAATATGAAACATTTGAACTCTTAACAGATTTCTATCTTGGCTCCGGTCCCTTTGGCAGTATGAGCAGTCTATGTTACTTTGAGTTTATTGATTTTCTTGTGTGTTATTCTACCTGCTTCACTTGTTTTATGTGTTTATGTACTATTTTATGTTTTATGTGTTTATGTACTATTTCTTTAGCTTTCATGCTGTAGAAAGCACTGGACAGATACAGCGTGCTTTTATTTCTTTTGTACATACAAAACACGGGAGTGTTGTCTGGTGCCATTCACAAACTAGGTATTCAGTACACAATTTTCTAGAATCCTCTTGACTATTAATCTTTTTGCATGGTCAGATAATGTATGAGAAATAATTAACACTATGTCAGGTATGTGACAGGCAGTCAATGAATATTAAACAAAAAAGAAAAAAGAACGAGACAAAAATAGATGAAACAATTAGACTCATTTTCTTCAGTGTAAAATATAATTAAGTTATCATTAACAAAGGAGCCTTGTTTCATTGGATAAGCTTCTGTAGTGTCTAATGTTGATCCACTGATCGGGGACTTTTAATCCAAGGTTTTTGTGAAAACTTTAAAGTGGCCTAGAAAGTTGAGGGGAGATGGGCTTCCTTCTGCCTAGGTATATGTAGGAAGCAGAAAGGTTGAACTGAAAGCAGTGCTGAGATATTTTCATGTTACATCCTAATGGTTACAACCTAATAGAGACCATTTAGTCTGCCACACACTGTCACCTCATTCCCCTATGGGTCAATGCATTCCTCCATGCACAAGCAGGTACATTCCTGTGCATTATTTGGAGGAATGACTGGGGAAGAAGGCAGGAAAGTACTGATGACTTTGAATGTTGACTTCCAATATGGAAAAGCAGAGAAAGCATATAAGAATCCTTCTACAACTCAGTAAACACATTAAGGGTCTCTAGTTAGAAAAGGCACCAGTTGTCCCATTTCCTGGGATTCAGGCTGGTTTTGAACTCATACTTATGCAGTCCTCCTGCCTTATTCTCCCAAGAAGTAGGGCTAAAGAGAAAAGAATTTTCAGTGGATATTTTAAAAGGCAGATAGAGCTGTGCTACCAGAGTTCTAACCTGCTTCTGTCTTAGGTGCAAAGGAGTCTCTCTCCCACCCTCACTGTCCTTGGCATTGATAGTGACATGAGATTCTGTTTGATGGGTCTTTATTTTCTCTGATATATGTTAGCAGAGATTTTATGGAGTGTAAAAAGAGCATAGTCTGTCTTAATCTAAACCTAAACCAAAGAGAACTAAGAAACAATGGTGAGACATTTGAATACCCTCCACATTTTAGTTATGCTGCTTCCTTTTCTACCGCAATGTCCCTCATACAATTCGCCCACATTATATTTTAAAAATTCGTGTTAAATAGCAAAGTTCTTTTTCACTGTCTGCAGTCATAACATAAAACCTAAATATGACTGAATATATGAGTTAAACCAGACAATTAATACATTTTTAAAGAAAGCAAAAATCACCTTAAATTTTGCTATTTGTCATTTGAAAACCATTTTTAGAATAACATCAGAAGATTTAAATTCACATCTATAGTTTAAAAATTCTTTACTTATAATATAGCACATTCTAGGTTTTGATAAAGTTCTTATTATTGCTAGATTTTATCCCTCCAAAAGCCCTCATGTCAAAGCCTAGTCAGGTTTCTCTCAGAACATTTTTTTACCTGTTTGTGATGGTTATAAGTGCAGGAGGACAGTAGTAACCACTGGAAGCATGGTCAAAGCTTCGAAGGACTGGGTCAACTTTGTAACAAAATCTATCATGTCTCTCCCATCCCTTAAAAAGGAAAGAAAAGAAATTAGGGACATAATCTTATTCAGTTAAATAGCAAGAGATCTTTTCTGCATATTCTCATTTACCACTTATATAACTTTCTTTTCTCATTCATTCAAAACTTCTTGAATTTTTGTCTTAATGTCTTTATATTTATTCTACCTGATGATACCATTCTAACTAGTGGTGATCACTTCTATGTTTATTTAATTAACTACCTTTAAAATCCTAAAATTTTAAGTTTACTGAAAACAAAACATTAAACACAAGTGAAGACAAAAGTGGAAAATACCATGAATGAAATAAAAACTTAAAATAAATGGGTACTCAATCAGGAGATCTCTCTCTCTCTCTCTCTCTCTCTCTCTCTCTCTCTCTCTCTCTCTCCCTCTCTCTCTCTCATCTGTCTGTCTCTATTTCCCAACTTACAGAATTTCATGAAAATGATTCCCATATTAGGTTAGAAATTAAGAGTATTGGTTCTAGATTCAGAAAGCATGGGTTTGAGTCTTGGCCCTACCACATGTGAGTTTACTGATATTGAATGGATTTTAAGAAATGTGTTTAATGTCTGTCTGTCTAGTTTTCTCACCTGCAAAAAGAGATAAAAGAGCAATGTTTTGACTGTGTCTGAGAATCAAAAGGAGACAGTGCAGGCAAAGATCTTAAGAGTCAGACCAGGGAATTGGTATAAGCAAAGAAGATAAACATGCCTAGATATTACTATATATTTTTTCAATTTTATTTCATATTGATTGTTACATGTTATCTCACTGAGATTCATTGAGAGTAGGGCTTTAGACAGAGTTACCAATCAGTAGATCAGGAGGGCCTGGAGGCCAGTTCTGGTAAAATTCAGGATGGGCTTGGTTGGATTATGATCCAAATACTACATTCACACACATAGAATAATTATGTCTAAATTAACTGGCTGCCCTTTAAAGAGAGGAAGAAAGAAGTTTTGACATGCGGACAAAAATGACAAATTGTACCTCCAAGGCTTACTCCTGAGAACAAGATGGGGGTTGCTGTATTCTTTAAAATCCTGCAGTATGGAAGACATAATTTCACTACTTTCAACTGTTATTTTAATTTTTTCTCATCCAATTTGTTAAGCCATATTACTTTATCTATGTTTACATATTAACCAGATTTTAAATACTCTACATTTTGTGCCAACCCAATTATTGCCAGTCTGTGATCAGGCATAAAATGAATACTAGAATATTTCTTGGTTAAAAAAAAAAAGTTAGCCCTGTGAAAAATAGTCCATATACCAACTACACATAAAGAATGTAAACATTTTTTTTTTTTGCAAATATGTACAAAGAGAAAAAAAGAGAAGGTAATCAAGAGATGGCTTGAAGGGGTTGGAAGTTAAGGGAAAGGGATGAAAAAAGAAATTTAGACATGTTGTGTATATGTAGCAACTCCCCACAAGGAATGTAAACATTACTACTGAAAATATGCACTAACAAAAACAAGACCTTAATTAGAAATGGGCTATTATCTCATAAGGTATGGTTCACAAAGCTCCTTCACCCAGACATTCATCCTATGCCGAGAATTGACTCCCAGCCCTTTCTGTGCAGCGGGCACTGCCCAACAGAACCCTCAAGCTTCACTCTGGATGACAGCAGGTGGTTGGCCTGCTTTTGTGTTGGCAGGACGAGTGGAGGGACGCTGACAATTTGACCTTTCTGGCAAAACATTTCTTATTCATTAGTAATTTGTAGGTCATGTGTTGCTTACTCATACAAAACAAAACAAAACTCTAGGGCTGAGCACAATGAAGAAAAGGGAGGGCAAGAAATATGTGGCACAGGAATTACCAGAAAAACAAAGACCGCATTACAAGTCCTTTTCCACACAACTGATTGACTCATGTTGTCCAATCTCCCCAAAATGATTTTTTAAAATTTTGAAATAATCAAGACTGATTTTATAATTAATTTTGCAAAGAGAAACCTTTTGGAGAGTTGCATTAAAGAAAATGACAATATAAAGAAAACTTTGCTATATCAGAAGATAAAGCAAATAAAATTAATGGAAAATTTCCTTTAAAACTGGAGATCTGATTCTGACCACAGACTCTTTGAATACTAGTAATGCTAGCCAGAAAAACAGTGAACAAAACTTCAAAGTGAGCATCAGTTCTCTCTGTGTTGTAAGAAATTAATTGCTCTTTCAACAAAAATAAATTATGTAGAGCTGCTTTGATGCCACAGTAAGGTCAGTGATGAACTATAATTCAGGATTTGCAATTCTTAGATAGAGTGCTTGGTGACATGTCAGCCATGGCACAGGTCTTGTCCAGCTGGGATGCAAGGGCAGCTCCTATGTTTCCATATTGATTAATGCATGAAACAGCTTCTGCAGAGATGGATCACTGTTTAGTTGGAACATAAACAGCTGGATTAGAAGGGATAATAACTATAGAAAAGTTGTTTAAAAACTGGATCTAAGTTTTTAACTGGTTGTAGTAGTGCACACTTATAGTTCCAGTACTCAGGAGGCAGAGGCAAAAGAGGATCGCCAGGAGTTCAAGACGAGGCTGGGCTACGTAGTGAGTTCAAGGACAGCTGTAACTACAGTGAGCCCCTGTCTCAAAAAACAAAACAAAACAAAACAAAACAAAACAAAAAAAAAAACAAAGAAAAGAAGTGGTCCAGGGTATTTTTGAGACTAACACAATATAAAAATTGAGGGCAGGCAGGAAAGTAAGCAAATGTGCTGAAAATGCAGATAAAGCAGATTTTATACAACTTTATTGCAGCATATTAAATGCGTTCACGAACTTTTAAAATGTTAATTTCCACCTTGTAGGCTTAAATCTAAGTATTTTAGTACATCTAAAGTATTTTGTTATTTATACTAAATGTAAAGTATTTTTACCTATTTCTTTCCCAAATAATAAACATGATGCAAGTGTGCAATTATGCCCAGTGCCATACATAAGTCTAAGCAGTGTGAAGAGAAAGTTAAGATGCTTGGGGCGGAAATTCACTCTCTGACTCCAAGAAATGTGGTCGCTTTCTCTGTGACATTCCTCTTGAAAACTATAAAAACCACATGTGAGCAGAAGCATTGAGGGACAGTCACTGTTTGTACAGATGGTGTAATAGGATCGTTTATATTTTTTAATTAAAAAGAAGTAGCCTTGGCTTACAGAGCACAGCAAGACAATGATGCTTTTCCAGGTGCCTTTAGGTAATTGTTTGGTTTCTAAAAAGGCAAGTGGGGGAGGGGTGGAAGAAGGCTAAAGGGGCGGGAAGGATGAGCAAAGGGAAACTTGCTTTCAGTTGAGGTGGATATATGGGTCTAGTTCTGTACTCTCTGTACTTAAGTTGTAGCATCACAGACTTACCTTTTGACATCCTGAGTCTGTGTCAGAAAGGACGCGGCCTGCCTTTTTACAAGTATAAAAAAGTGTTTCTTCACAGTTTTTAACTTTCCAGTGTCCCTCCTAAGGAGAAAAGTGTTACAAGATGAAGGAACATGCTTTATGCTCATGTTAATGGGAAATACCAAAAATTATGAGCCAAATGTGATTAATAACAAGTGTTTTCAGGGGGATAATGTTTTAGGATCCTGCCCGGTTGTGGAAGGGCTTGCACTCTCTCCATGGAAGGGGTTAAGGTTGGCTGTGAGCTGCTGGCTCTGCAGCATGTGACAATTCCAACATCTGCAGTCCCAAACTGAGTGGACAGGATGGAAGAAACAATGATACTTCTTGTTTGATGCTATGAGTTAGGCATAATGTTGAGTGATTTTTCAAATAATTTTAGCATTCCCATGAGAAAGGAATTACTATCCCCATTTTAAAGGTTAGGTTTAATACTCTGTTCAAGGTCCTATAGTTAATTTAAAAAAAAAAAAAGGAGCTGGGGTTGATAACACAGTCAGCCTGGCTTTGCATTAAATTGCTCTCAATTTTTCTTTTAAAAAGATAGATTAGAGAAATAGTCCTCAGTTGTCAGGGTGTACCAGAATCACTGGGAGAAATTCCTAAACATCAGTGACGGAGCCTCAAGATCAGAGTGTCTTATTGGTAGCTTTGGAGGGACCTAAAATTTGCATTTGTAGCAAGGCTTCCATGCTGCAGATGTGGAGCCACACTTTGAGAATCACCCAGATGAAGTTGTCCCTCTGACTGAGTGAGTATGCTACTTTCTCCAGTTTTAAGTGTTAAATTAAAGGCTCTGCTGCTTTCATGTATAGACCTCACACTGGAGAAATATCTGGACATTACTTGACTGAGATTCATGCTCAAACCCCAATGTCTTTCTTCCTCACAAAGTTTTCAGAGCTCCACCCACTTTCTCTTTATATTACAAGCAGGTGCCTTCACGTCTTCTCCTAGGTCTACTGAAGGCTTTTCTCAGACTGTACAGCAAAAATGGTGCAGTGACTGCTAACAGATTAAACTTTTATTCTGTCCAAATACTTTTCAAAATTTTAGCACAAATCAGAACCTTAGACTCAAACCACACAATTCAAGTTTTAGGTGGTATTTCAGATATCCAGGATTTTGTGGGAAATGGGGCCCTTCCACGACCTTTAGAAATACATCATGTCAGAGGCTGATGATGCCTTCATCTGTGAGAACAATTTTGTATCTTTCCTCCACAGAGTCTTCCAGCAAACCACCCAGTTATAAGGTAATGTCAAGTGTACCATAGTTGCTTAACAGCTGTTGGGTGCTTGGATGATTGATGATTCCTAGGTTCCCACATTCAAAATTAGGTGTTAACTATGTTAGGTAACTTGTTAATTATAATAATTATATTTATATTGAGTTGATGGAAACTAACTGAATTGATGGAACTTGAAGGATATAAATGTTAACTTCTTTGTATTAACTATTTAAGGTGCTACTAAGCTGCCAAAAGAAGGCTACAAAATATCATACTTAAGGCAGCATTACTCTGACTCACCCAATAATATTAATATCTATCTTCATTCTTTTAAAATGAATCCCTAATTTTGGCTCTTCATTAAATACACTAAGTAAAACACATCAGTCAATAGGAGATGAAGGTCAGCTTAATTACATCAGATCTAATGAATCAACAGGATGTAAGCTAGAGTAGAATAAAGTGTGTTGAACTTCAGAAATACTAGACCCATTACAAACATTTGGAGAGGTCATTTTCCTTCCTGAAATGTAACTCAGAGACACTGCGCTCACATGTGTAGTTGGAACTGCATATGCTAATGCGAGCTTTAAAAGATACAACAATGAGAAGTGTCACAAAGAAAATAAGTACTTAGAAGTTTTCCACATTTGGTTCACATAACTTTGTCAAATGCTTAAGTAGCATTTAATGAACGGCCTCTTAGGGGAACTAGATATGGTATCCAGTGTTTAGAAAGAATAGGAAACCTCTACAATTCCAATAACCTCCTAAAACTCAGTGAGTGTTTTAATCAGTTAAAGAAAGTAAGTTTATTTTAAACACATACAAAACCAATAAGTGGCTTGGGATTAAACTGATTCTGTATCATCAGATGTTTTAGATAAACGAGAGATGAGACTGAGAACAGCAAGTGTAAAGTTAAGGCCAGTGGGACCATTCCATTCTTGCGAGAAAAAAATGCCAGGTTTGACATTGGTTTATACTTTTCAAAAGGTCACACATACTGTCCAAAACCATTTCTTTTAATAAGACAATGGACCTTTAAAACCATCACTCTCCAGAGCAATCTCAGTTTTTCCTTTCATCATGGACGTGGTGGTCAAGAGCACCACCATCTACCAAAATGGTGCTTTGTTTAATCCCAAATCCACCTCTTTCTTACTGCCTCATCTAATTTAGCAGTAAGTTGCTACCCAAAGCATCCTTCTATCTGTTCATTTGTCTTTATTGTCCCCATCCTAAGTACCCTCCAGAATGATTTTACTGCTTCTATTCTATCTTCTCCAAACAATTCTCTAGGTAGCATCCACAACTTCTTTTTAAAATGTGAACCAGGTTATTCTCCCTGTGTTTCAAACTATAGAAACACCTTAATTGTTCCTGCACCATGGCCTGTAAGCCTGGCTATTTTTTTTTTTTATAATGGGGATCAAACTTACAACCTTGCATTTGCCAGGCAGGCACTTATGCTGCTGAGATAAATCCCTGTCCAAGCCTGGCATTTTTGCATTCCTCTTTTCCTATCATCTATCATCTCCTTACTGCTGGTGCCATTCCTCTGGTTGTTAAAGATGTAAGCTTTGGCCTGCCTTTGCACTTGCTGTCTTCTGCCTGGAATGTTCTTTTCCCTGTTCTGCAAGTGGTTTGTTTTTAAATCCTAGCTTAAATGTGGCCTTTCTTGACTGTCCTGTTGGAAGGCGTAGCCCCAACCCACACTCCTCACTATCATGTTATCTATAACCTCACAGTAATGATCACAGCTACAATTTCCATGAGTTTTCTGTGTGTATTTGTTTACCACCTGGCCTGGAAGTCCCATGAGGAACTCATGCTGTGCATGTCTTGGTCTCTGCCATGGCCCAAGTCTCCAGCACAGGTGGCCCTCGATGTGAGTTCAGCAAAATGAACATTGAACAAAGGAATCAACTTACAGGGTGCTCTGCTGAGACACATAGCTGGCTTCTACTTGGAAAAATTTGGGGCTCTAGTGTGTTCCAGTTAGTAAATACTACTGGAGAGCCATTAGACCATTCAAAGGAAACTGGAATTTTATTGCTGCTCAAACCAATCCATGTTTCTGATGCATTTTCTATAAGAGATAAATATAATTTACTTGTAAGATCTTACTGTTTGCAAAGGTTACTACCAAAATATACCATTTTGCATGTGATTTCCTCTTGATTTCTTAACATAATAAAAGCTGTTGAAGTCTATAAATATCAGCTGGAATCCTTTCTCTTCTGTTACATCTGGTTCACTTATCTGCTAAGTAAGCAGATAAGTAAGCAGATAAGTGAACCAAAACAGAATGTGATCTAAACCTAACAAAAGGACAAAGCTGAAGCAAGTTAAATTCATGGCACTCTAGGTCTTACTACAAAGGAAAAATAGGATGAACTGCTGGACTATGAAAGGAGCATTGTTTTTTTTTAATAAAAGCTAAACTTTTAATAATAGTGTAGCTTAAAGATTTTTTTCTTCCAAGAAAAAAGAAACTGAAGCTCTTAAAAGGATTGCAGTGGGAGTAAAGGGCTGACAGAAAATATGTCTTAGTAGCCTGGGTAGGGTGAGAAGACTCTTAGTGACAAGAGAGATGTACAAGTGTCCTTGCTAATATAGAGGTAGCTTCAGGATTCTTTTAATCCTAAATGCAAAGGATTAGGAAAAGATGGCAGAGACATATTTTTGTTTTCAATGAAAACTAAAATTTAACATTGAAAAGGTCATCAAAGTAGGGTCAGGATTCTTTTTTTTTTTTGGCTTTGTTTTCATTTTTAGACATTGAAAAATAAAGCTCAGGAATTAAAAGTGTATCTTTTCTCTTTCTTTCTTTCTTTCTTTCTTTCTTTCTTTCTTTCTCTCTCCTTCTCCTTCTCCTTCTCCGTCTCCTTCTCCTTCTCCTCCTCCTTCTTCCTTCTTCTTTTTATCTGTTAGCAGGAATCCATATCAAATGTGGGACCCAGGAAGGAGCAGACTTGTTCTGATGGATTAAAGGTGGTAGAGGCCCAGGAGCCCACACCTGAGCATGACACACGTCCTGAGAATCACTGCATCAGATAAATTATCCTTTGCCACTGTTTAAAGTGATTCGAATCTAGTTATGTGCCTAGAAAATTTCCTTTCCATGAGCATAGTACAATATTGTTTTATAAAGGCTATAAAGCTAAATTATAGGTTTAGGCTTATTAGAAATCTCCATAAATAATCTTTACCACTAAAAAAATTTGTTTTTAAAAAGGCCATGCAATATATGTCATCTATATTTTATAAAGTTTCTAAACAGATATTCTATAAAACTCCAAAGATTTTGCATTCCTGAATACTACTTAGGAATAATCACTACTCAAATAGTTACTCTATCATATTTCATATCTCTTAAATCAAAGGCAATCAGTACTCACCAGCTCCAAGGAGGTTTACAAGAAACTCCACCTCTGCTAATGAAGCTATGTCTATCAATGTACTGTTACCAGACTGGCAGGAACGTAAAGCTTCATTCCAGGTCTTTGCTTCTTTCTGAAGTTTGTAGCAATTACGATTGTAGGGCTTCCATCCAGCCTCACAGTGGGTCGCATGATACTTCCAAGCATCATTTTCTTTTTAAATCAATACAAATGTAATTTCCGTAAGTAATTAAGCATTGCTTATTTTTAAATTGCTATCAACATGATTACTCTTAAATGTGAGAAATAACATATGAAGTGACATGAAATTCATAGAATTTGAGATCTTTCAAATGTAGCACGGTCTAATCTCTGATCTAGATCTAGATATGAGATCTAATGAATCTTAGTGCTTCATTCTCCAGATGCGAAATCTAAGGCACAAAGCAGTAGGGGACATTATAAAAGTTACAATGTACAGGGAAAGCGGGAAGTCAGGACTAAATATAAAATTTAATACATGCCCACTTTTCTTAAAATCTTTTCAGATTGCAAGAGAATTATTATAGAACACAATTTAAATCCCAAAGATTTTATTTACTATATGTGTAGAATGCCTCATATATATTGTTATGGTTAATACATTGTGTCAACTTGAGAAGGTTAGAGGTTTAACTAAGAGATTCCGCAGGGAGCCAGGGTCCTCACTTTGTAAACAGCCTGAGAAAGAGGAGAGCACAAAATGGTGTGATTGCTATAGTGTGGAGTGGGGGTGGGTGGGGTGAGGGTTGCCTGCTTAGAATATAAGGGAGAAAAAAAGACTTGCTCTTCCCCTTCTTTAATTCTTGTTGCTGTGCTGTCTTCCATTGCCTTGAACTGTTGCTGCTGTGCCATGCTGACCTGCTTTGAGCATGATGGACTGAAAACTCCACAAACTGTGAGCTAAATAAACCTTTTCTTCCTTAATTTGAGGCATTGAGTACTTGTCCCAGTAACAACAGAAAAGTAACTGAGACAAATATTTCCCTCAGCACAAAATAGTTTAAAACTCTGACCACTTCCTCTAGAGCAGGAACGACAGGAGGTTTCACTTTGAGGGTCAGACAGGTTCCTCTAGGGTTGAATTGGGTTGACACAGACTCTGGGTTGGACTTCCAGGAGCAAAGTGCCATGAAGTTTGGGATGTTTGAGGGGGAAAGTGATAGTGTAGAAGACAGGTTTTAGCTCTTTTTCAGGAACTTGTCCCCAGCTGGTGATCATATTTTTGTTTTATTTTATTGACCTGTTCTAGATGTTTTCCTTCAGAACTAATTTACTTAAGTGAAGTTTCACTGCTACTAAGGAAAAAAATTCTTCTAAAGTTGTTTCTAGGAGTCTGACTGCAATACAGTCAAAGTTAGAGAGTGCCAGAATATTTAGATATCATTTACCTTAATGGTTTGCAACTGAAAAATAAATCAAAAAACACTTTTTAAACCTGCTCAACCTCATTCTAAAGGCAAGAAAAGAAAATGAAAGAGGGACTTCCCTGATGGAAGCAAGGACAGAGCCATGCAAGAGCCCTGGGCAGGCATACTGAAATGATAGTTGAAGACACAGAATGTCGCTCAGTGGAAAAGTGTTTGCCAGTCATGTGCCATGTGCTCAGTTAATTCCCCAGATCCCCCTCTCACTGCTAGAAAAAAAAGAGATGGTGGTTGAGTAAGCTCCTGAAATGATGGGTTCCCTGCAGGCATGCCTAGTAGAGCCACTGTTCACAAGAGCTGAGGAACTTCGGTAAGAACGCATAGTGCCTACTTGTAGTATAACAAAATGAAGACTACTGAAAAAAGGAAGAAGAAAAGAGTTCTCTGTTTCCCAGCCCTCACCTCCAAGCACCTGAACATGGAAAGAGACACCTTCCATTTGAGGAGGGAGAAAGAATTAAGCCCAATCCCTGACTTGAAACCCACTTGCAGATCTGCCATGGTGCAACTGAGTGCTGGGCAAAACCTCAGGGCCTGTCAGGCCAACATTCATGAGCTAAGCCCCAGATGACTGACAGTCTTGAGCATCCTTTCTCCAACACTGGGTGGCAGAGTGGGGAGCACAACTCCACTCTGTAAACAGCAGGGCGCGTAAGCTAGCGTATAGGTTTGTCTATCACGGTGAGACCTAAGCCCACTAAAAACTGATGTATACAGGTCAGGTGGTTACAGACAGAACCTATGGGTCAGCCATGGAATCAGGCAAAGGTCTCTGTACTGGCTGGACAGACCCTTGTTTCAGCCTGCATCATTTCCAGCCTCAGAGTGGGCCCAAGGCATACCTATCCTTTTCCAAGACCATGCAGTCCTCTGTAGCTGAGAGTAGGGACGTGACCCAGTGTAAAGTTAGTTTTGGTGACCTCTATCACCCATATCTCAGGCTTGTTATTATCAAGCCAATGTTCAGAGATGGGACTTTGAACTCCTCCTGCACCAGACAGATGCTTGCACCTAATGGGACAGACTTTACTTTGTTCTGCATCACTGCCTAGTGCAGAGTGGGACTTGGTCTCCTACCCTCATCTCCAAGACTCTTCAGGTTCTTGGAACTGTAAGCCTCAGACATGACCCAGTTTAAGTGGCCATGTCATGGCCTTCACTAGCACCATCCTTTCTTGGGCAACACAGGATGATGCAAGACCCCATTTTCTGGGAATCAGTCAGTGTAGTAACCAAAAGACTTTGCCCTGGACCTTAGTGCTGAGCTTGTGAAACCTAACACTGGATAGATCCTGATGATACCTATTCCCAGATGTGTCTATAGAAGGTGCATCTGGAGGAGCTCCAGTGGCAGGTGAAGACATATGTCCCTATTATTTTGGATTGCACTCCAGCAAGAAGCCACATATATCACAAACCCACCTTAGCAATAGGCAACTCTTGTGTAAGCCTTGGTCCTACTCCAGTGTTGTGCTGGTTTTGGCAGGCTATGGGCACAGGGTCTGATACAGATAAAAGCATTTGTATTCACAAGTATGACACAGGAATTTTACACTGACACATCTACAGTGACTCTGCTGAGACCGAGATAGTATCTTGAAACATCTGACCATAGGCAAGAAACTATGGATGAGGCTTCCAGGTCTACCTTGATCCCAGGAAGACACTTGTGGGAATACACTACTATCTCTAAGTGCTCTCATGGTTCTTTCTGAACAACACAGCACAGTGTATTCAGGACAAATTAGGAACTGCTCTCTAGTATAGAAACAATGATAAGATGCTACTAGCAAACACCTGCAAACTGAGACTTGGGTGCTATCAAGTACTAAAATACTAGAAAAAAACTATAGCCTCATGGAAAATAAGCAGCTGGATTCGAATTTGTAGATATGTCTTGGTTACTTTTATCATTACTGAAACAAAATACCCAACACCTACAAGTTAAAGGAGGAAAGGTTTATTTAGCTCACAGTTTTTGGAGATTTCAGTTCATAGGTGGCTGACTCATAGGTGGCAGGGTAGCATGGCAGAAGTGCATCACAGAGGAAAAACAGTTCATGGTAGGTAGAAGGCAGCATGGCAGCAAGCATCAAGCAACAAGGGACAACCTTTTTTGTGTCTCTTATAGCTTATTCAGACTACCCACTCTTCTGGCAGGTAACACTTGCATCTTTAATCCTAGCATTGCATCCTTGATCCTAGCATCAGACCTAGGTCCAGGCATTTCCAAACAGCCTCATTCATGACAGCATAAGAGTTTGGGGGAACATCTAGTTACAAATCATAATGGAAAAGATAAGTACAACCAAAACCAGATTAGGAAGATTGGAATTAATACCTAATCTTCTACTGTCCTCATGATGTCACAGGGCAACAAGCATAAACAGCATTTTAGAAAACCATGACCTCAACCTATTACTTAACATAAGGTTTCATAAGCTGACCAATCACTTCTTAACCTTTTGGCTAAGACTGAGGGCAGAAACTGACCAGGCAGTAAACAGTATGAGAGAAATTACAAAGAATTTAAAAGAAACTTAAAGAAAACACAGAGAAATATTTCAATATTCTTTATGGAGAAACTTAATGAAGAGATGGGAGCAGTTTTTAGAAAATCAAACATAAATTCTTGAGCTAAAAGTGCATTCAGTGAAATTTAAAACATGATAAAAGAATCAAATCAAACAGAAAAATTAATAAGCTCAAAGACAGACTATTTGAAAATATTCATTTGAAAGAGAAAATAGAAAAATAAAGTAAGTTCACAGGAATTTTGAAATAGTACTAAAATGGAAAATATTTGTGTTACTAAGATTCAAGAATAACTTGAGAATACTGAAGAGGCAGAAAACTTCATTTAACTCAACCAAGACTAATTAAAGTCATTTATAATTGAATTCTAGAAAGTGAAAGATGAAGAAGAGATTTACAAGACTGCAGTAAAAAATAAGTGTAACATAGGGGCATCTGTATTCATTCATCAAGTTTCTTAAAAGAAATATTACAGTACAGGAGATTGCTGCATGAAGATTATTACAGGACTAACTGGAGGAAAATCTATTAATTGAGAACACAGTATTGAATCCTTGAGAGACAGAGACATTCCCAAACAAAAGTGACAGACCACTAGACCTATTCCTAGAATGCTAAATCAAGTTTTTCATACTGAAAGAGACATTAGTGAGTGAAAAGAAAACATGGTGTTTTGGTTTGAGTACAGATATCTCTCTAGAGCTTCATGTACTCATCGAGGCAGCTAAAACTAGATTTTGTGATTGGTTTATTGTGTGGTGTTGGGATTGATGGTGTAACTGCTGTACCCACTCTGGGGCAGGTAGCTTACATATAACATAAGGGAGAAAAAGCAGCTTATTTTTCTCTGTGGCCCTTTTACTCCTCAGAAGGATCAAGAAAAAAAAAAAAAAAAAAGATGACCTAAAGGCATCATAAAAAACAGCAAGTCTCAAACCTTTGCAACCTCAAAATTGCAAAAGTGAATGACTTTGCTTTGTGAGGAAAGCCACAGAACGCCATGTTCCAGAATAGTGACAGCACAGAAAATTTGTTCTTCAAAATTGGATTGAGAGTGCCCAGGCGATACAGGAGCTTGACCCCTACAGCCAAAAGAGAGGAAACCTTGGCGACTGCTTCAACTGGCAGCAGACCTTGGCATCATCCATGTGGCACTGCTTTTAGGCCCATGCAAAAATTCAAGAGTTCTGAGGTTAAGGCAGCTTCTGCCCT